GGACAAAGCATCAATTAATTTGCCTGACCATAGGTAGTACCTATGTGGGGTTTCATTCGTAGGCTATCGTACACTAGATTATATCTCCATCGTGGTGAAATGCCAACACCCTACATGCACTCTCGCCTCAACGGCGATTCATCGTCAACAGTCAATGAGCTACCTGGTTGGGACCGACGGTGTTGCTCATTGCCCGTATCTAGGCAGGTATTGCGCAATGGCAATGGCTGATGATCTGGACGTTCTCTGTTCGTCGCCATCTCGCTCGTGTAAATTAACCGCACATGTACGAAGTATTCGTCGATAATAAACTACACCACACCTTCCCCGAGCTCTTTGGCCTGTCCCAACCAACGCCCCGTCTTGGCACGGCCGAGTGAGCGATCGGGAATGGGAACAAGTTGGCTTGCACCATGTACCCGCCAATGGTGCTTTCGGCCAACCCCTCACATTTTCCGAATAATACCTACCCAGATAATACATTTGATCGTGGTTGTCGTCAGGAAAGTTACGGTGATCCACTTTATCTAGCCGGAGGGGCGTACGAAGTAGGGAAGAAGAAGTGCTGGTCTCAGTAATGTCTATCCTCTGTTTCCACTTCGATGGTGACCTGTAACGGATCTTAGTTCTTACACATACCTTGAGGCAGAAGTGCCTTCACGAGTCAGTTGTTCTGAAATGGCACCTTCTTGATGGCGGGAACAAGGTGCAACCATGTTCTCGAGAGCAATGCCTTGGAAATTGAAGTGGGATTAATGCGAGGCATTCTCGTGAAATCAAGGGCGATGAATACAGGTGTGATGCTTCTCTTCGCATTTAGACAGTCGTTCATGCGGTTGGGAAATTCTAGGCTCGGTGTCCAGGCTCGGTGTCGAGCCTGCTCTCCACATATGTAGGCGTCTATCCTGCGAAGTTTCCTTATGGTGCCAAAGGAGCATTCAAGTCAGCATCTCGAGCGAGGTCGTCGGCCTGTTGGAGTGACTGAGGTGCGGCGCCACGAGAACCAGTTCCCAGCCTTCCGGTAAGCCCAGCTCGCGCTCGGTGGCGGCTGATATTAATCTACCGGCTTTGAGAACTCGTGAATTGAACCCATCAATCATTGCTGGTGTTTCGTATGAAGGTGTGGGGAAGTGCACATGTCGCATACGAAGTAATGTAACGGACATCTGCTCCGGGTTCTTTGAACGAGTCTCGGCACGGCCGCCGTTTGAACTCTGAACCCCAGTCGCCGACCTCTGGTTTGACTCCTCTCGGAGGATATGCCCCTGATTTTTGCTGATGATACCTTTGTACTCCGTATGTCTCTGAGCATTACTTCCTCGGTTGTGGGCTTCCATGGTGCATCTCGAGTCAAGGCTCTCTCGTGTCCCTGACTATTGGCCAATAGAACCACCTTACGGCCCGGTGCTGTTTCTCCCCTGTACGTACTCTGCTTGTATGACACGCCATGCCAGGGTCGTGCTTTCATGACCTGCAAGCATCAAGAGTAAATTCCGACCTGTGCACCGCGGCAGGACTAGGCCAAAATGCGACCACAGGACGCCAACGGCGACGCGAGTGGTCAACGCTAGTGGCGGACCAAGAGTCAATGTTTCTTTTTTCTCCCCAATAATGTGGGCAGGACGAGCTCCCTAGCGTCTGCTACATCGTATGAAGGGGGGAACTGCAACGCGACATGAGCATGGGATGGTGGGGACTTTACGTGCTATCTTTTACATGAAGGTGTGAGATGCCCCTGAGACCAGCAGATTCGAGCCATTATTACTGGCATGGCTCTCATACCAGGGATTGACTAAATTTGTAATACGAGTGGTGGCCCGCAGTGGCGTCCTTTTTCTTTCGTCATTATTGATTGATCCTTTTGCTCTGCCGATTGGGCGGGAAAAAAAGTGGCGATAGGATATCCTCATTGAATTTGGTTTGCGTTCGCATCTGGAAGAAGGGTCACAGGCGACCGTTGGCGTGTGAGGGCGATGGAAGTGGGAGCACGAGATGTTGAAGACGGGGTGGCTCGATTGAAGAAAAGCCCAAGCAACAGTTCAGGGCTTCAAGCCGAGTGCAATCCCCGTCATCCCCGTCATCCCCGTCATCCCCGTCTAATCTGTCCAGTTTGATGATGGCGCCTGGGGGGGCCGACAGGCATCGTAATAACTGACTTCTCGATCTCGATGCATTGATTGATGCTGGTACATTGATGCAGGTATCTGTACCACGCCAAGTTTGGGTAGGATTGCCCGTAGTGGGCGCGTTGCCAAAATGTACCGGTACGGATATTAATCCTTCGTATGGAGAACAAAGAAACAAGAGTTGAAGATCAATTGATGGCAATTCAAAAAGCGCCCCGGGGTTAGAGGGTTATTCGTGGCGAATCTAATACCGACATGCCGTCTTCTCCGCTATATTTGGCCTTTAATAGCGGGCTATCCCTATCCACGGGCAGCCAGCACTTGAGGCATTGTCTATGTAAATTAGGATAATATCAGGTTTGCAGGGTCCTTGAGATCGTAATCTATTGAAGACTTTCGAGATGGCGCCGACGACGACGGCGACGACGACGACAACGATGACGGAGCGGCGGCGACAGCGGATAGTTTAGGGGAGTGATGTTTTCGTGTACTTGAACGTCTCTTGCTTTGAGTCTCATCCATACTCAGTACTCGGTACTCATACCGGACTGTCGATCTTTCGAACTACTTCGTACTTAGCAGAATACTCCGGCGGCGCTAACACCATGTGTCTTTTACGCCATGAAGTTTGCACCTCGGACGCAGCAGTCCTTTGTCAGTCCTGCCGGATCTGGGCTTTAGGTTCATTGTTCCTGGCAGGCTGTCTATTCAGGGCATAACGGCTGGCTAGGCTTGTCTAATTGCCCTGTACCTGACCTCAGTTCTCGGCGCCCGTTGCTTTCTGCAGAGTGCACTATGTAGGTTGATAGGGCACATCGATATCTCATCAATCTGACCAGTTCTGCCTCCTGGCCTATTTGCCTGCCGACTTGCCCCCATTGGATGGATGGCTGGGCAAGTTTCTGAAATCTAGATTTCTGGTTGGCATGTGGGATCACTCGACACTCAACTTGGTATCGATACATGGATCCAAGGTTGCCGCTGCACCGTTAAATGTGGAGGATTCCTGCAGTAGTGATCTTGGGACCTGGTTGGGAGGGGGGAAATTCAAGTACATCAAAAACGGCACGACTTGGTCCGACGCGAATTTTGGGGACTTCCCCCCTCCTCTGAGACAACTACAAAGAAAGGAGAATAGCGGCGAGACTGGGTCATCCATCAAATTTGATGCTTCAATGTTCAATCTTAAGCATTAAGCGGTGCAATGCAATGTACGGAGTACGCTCCATTTGGACTGCAACGAGACACCTCGGGAGGGATCATGAAGTAGCTGGGTAGTGTCAAGTATGGAGTGCACCGTACGTAGCCCACAGTGGAGGAGCCTAGAGGAGGATGAGGAGCCATCAACGGATTGAGTTTTCGAGTTCTCCAGTTCTCCGTCCTGCGCTTATTCAATCCGTTCCTGTCCTGGTTCTGCCCAATACATGACATGTATACTTTCAACTTTGTACACCCATCGATCCCAAGCCTGGCGAGCCATGGATTTGATGGATTCAAGCCTCAAGGTAATACGACAATAGGACTTGGAAGTAGTGCAGTGGACGAAGTAGTGTAGTGTACGTACAGTGTGGACTATACTCCGACGTCTGGTTCGGTCACCTTCGCCTTCGCCTCGCCTTCATTTTCCTATGTTTCCATCCCCTTCATCAATGCTGTGTGGTTTCACCACAACAATCAACTTGCCCTTCACTCTTTCCTTTCCTTAGCCCATTCGTCACCACTCCACTCCATAGCCCCTTCCTTCTCTTTAGCACCCTTCCTCTCTTCCTTCCCACCTTCTCACCTTGTCTACCCTCCCCTTTACCTTCGTTATCTCGAACTCCAAACCCAGGAGTTCTTTGGACCGCAAAACAAGCCGGTTCCTCCTCCCTCCCCCCCCTTTTTTTTTCTTCCTTCACGACAGCCTCAACTTTTGGCTCAATCCTGCTGGGGACTTGTTCCAGGCATCGCGTACCCCACTCCTTTTCTGTTTTTCTTTTACTCGATTATCATTGTCTGTCATATTGCGTCTATTTCTTGTAAAACTGCAACGGTCACGATCATTCGTTTCTTTCCTATCACTATTTCGTTCTCTTTCCCGTCGTATCTCCGATTCTCGACAGTGCTATTCTTCCGGCATTCTTTGCTCTTGCGTACGCGAATTGTCCCTTGCTCGACCTTCCTATAGACATTTCAGACCCGAAACCGAACAGAACGAAGCGAGACTCGACCACCCTTCCTGTCTCTTCTCCTGACCGAATCCCTCCCCTCGCCGTGTCCCATGATATCCGACAACTAATACTGGAATCAGAGTGTCTCGAAGGACGCCTGGTTTCTCCGCCGTTTATTTGCCTGCAAACTTTGTCTTGGGAGCCCGATCGAGAACGCTGGTGGTAATATTGGAAGAACCGAAACAAGCAACTTGATTTTTCTTCAATTTGAATCCTTGGACTTGCCGACCTCTCTCCCCCTTCGAGCGCGTTTTGGGAAGCATATTTTGGGTCAATTTCAGTGGCTTGATATCTGCGTATCATTCGGCAGGCCCTCGCTCTCTTCAAAGGTAATCACTGGAAGCCCAGAGCCTTCTCTCGCCTCGTTGTGATGACTTGAGCCTGTGGGATTCTTTTGGATTCGGCGTTATGCATGTGGGCCTTGGTGCTAATGAAGAATCGCTCATCGCAGACCGGAAAAAAAAAAGTAGATTCACGACCGTAGACCGCGTTCTTCGTTTTCCTTCATCCTCGGGCGTTGATTATATTGTTCATAGACCGTGACGAACTCGATTGTTTCTGCAACTCGGTGTCGATCGATCCTCCCTGCTCCCCCCTTTTTGACGTGGAAATGGCTGCTTTGGTTCAGGTTCAGACCTATCATCAGCAGTCTGCAACAGCCACTATGCTCCAGACACGACCTTCATCTGCTTCGAACCTTCAGTCATCGTCAACACCGCAATTCTCTATGGCGCAGCCCCACCGCAATAGCGTTCATGGTGGCCCTGGTGGTATGACCCCGTACCGGAACTCGGGGCCCATCAAGCCATACGCATTCACCAGCACGCCGAGTCTTAACGTGACAGGGCAATGGCAGCAATCTGGTGCCGCAAGACCTTCGGGATCGAATCTTTCTACGTTGCGAGTTAGTGAGCCGAGCACTGGGGCCGCGAAGCCCAATCCTCCTGCGTCTTCGAACACCACGACGAGCGTGGGGCTGGCGGGCTCTCGGGACGACCTGTCCATTCCCCAACCGCGATTGATCACCCCAGCTCCACGACCCCAATCGGCCTATATGGCGAGCACATCCACACAAGTTTCCTTTGCACAGGCAAGCCCGGTTCGTCCGTCTCCTGAACGGTATCGCCGACCTGCCGCCAATCAGCCCTCTCGCACATACAACTCAGCCCCGCCATCGGGATCTGGGATGAGCGCCGTTAGCCATCTGTATACGCCGCCTGCTCTCCCACCAGTAGCGAGCAGAAACTCTTTGCCACCTGGAATTAGACCAAGCACAACATCGGGCTCACCTGCGGATGATGGACAGCTGTATCGAGAACGGCCCAAGGAAGACAAGAGGTTGCGGCGGCGAAGCATGCACACGCTCGATTCTGCCGATTACCCCAATCCGTTAACCCCACAATTGTTCAAGCGGCCGGGTGAAATGGGTCGCGTAGACCCGTCAACAACAGCGGCAGGGGATTCAAGCAAGACCCTTCGCCTCGTACCCCCTGCTAACGATGCCCTAAAAATTCAAAATAATAGCTCGGAAAGTCTTGTTTCCAGCCGCAGTAGCCATTCTCGTCCCCCTTCGGTAAGTGTAGTAGTTTTTTTTTTTTTTTTCTCTCCTTGGCTTTTTTCTTTGGCCCTTTGATTGTGCTTCTTCACCTTTCCCCCATACAAGCGAGATCCTCCACCTTTACCCCTTCCTTCCCCGGTAACTACTTTGGCGAGCGCCAACCTGCCGTGGCCGGCAAAACTGCCTGTAGGAGTTCATGCAATGGGAAAATTAAAAAGAGACAAAACAACCCATGTTGCTAACGGGGATAATTTTACCAAGCAACCTACCAACCGCAGTACACCCTCTCCAACCGGACCCCCATCATCGAGCCACTCGAGTGCGGATGACACCGCTCGACAAGACACCCTGAAACGACCTTCTCCTGATGGGGGAAAGCGAATTCACACCTCGTCACCTCTTTCACAGCCGGCATCCATGGCGAGCGACGAAACAAACAATGAGGGTCAGGCCTCCGTATCAAAGCAACCCGCCCCTGCGGCTCCTTCGTCTACCAGCAACGGCGAAAGCCCGGCGGCGAAAAGGCTGGCTGCCATTAATATGAAGTCGAGGAGCAAGACATCCAGGTTACGCCGTGCTTTCTCGTTCGGAAGCGCGGCCGAATTCAAGTCGATTACGGGTATCGAGTCGATAGCCGAAGATGAGAAGCTTGAACCATCGAAGCTACACAAGGAGCCGACGCCTGGCGAGCTTTATGATGCTGAGCAGGCTCGAATCGCCAAGAAGCAAGAGGAGGGAGGCCTAGGAACCAGCATTTACGGCACACGCCTGTTCTCAGGATCCACTGACAACCTGTCAATTTCATCAACGGCCTCATCGGCTTCGATTATGATTCGAAAGATGGGCCGAGGGATGAAGAAGGGCACGCGATCTTTGGTTGGCCTATTCAGGCCCAAATCAATTGTCGGAGCGCCAGCGGTCGACAATCTCGTGCCACCCGAGGCTGGCCAGACGACCGTGTCGATGGTGACGGTTGAAGCAGAGCGGGAGCGAGTAAATATTAATGTCGACCCTCATGCGCAGCCTGGTGGTGGGACTGGGTTCCCGCGCCTGGAGCGTAACTCGCTCGACGCGGCCAAGGCTCCAAGCATGGTCTCTGAGCGGGCAGGTAGCTCCGGAACGGACGGATCGGCCCCTCGCAAGAGCATCGTGGGTGGCGACCGGGAGCGTGCCGAAGTGCTGGCAGCGGTTAGGAAAGGCATCCTGAAGAGTAAGAAACTTAGAGCCCTTTTTCTCTCACCCCTCCCCACTTCTTCCCTTTTGGGATATGGACTAACGCCAGCTCCTTTTATAGAACGCAACACATCCCCTACTGGGCGGCCGGGAGAAAGGGACGGTCTTGGAGATCTCCCTGGCGTCCCCCCCATCACGGACTCGCCCAATTCGAGTGCGCCGAGCACACCCAACGATGAGGCGATGCACGGACATCGACGAAGCGAGTCGATTGCTATCGGCAGCGAGGACTACTTTGTTAGTGCCTTGAGACTTCGGCAAGACAGTAAGAGCGGCTCTGGCACTCCGTCAAGCACAACGAAGAGGAGCGCGACATTCTCTCCTCGTATTGTCTTCTACGATACATGGCCAAGTCAAGAGTACGATCGCCGGGGCGAAATCGCCACGTGCAACCGACTTACTCCCATGCTCGCTCAGCAGATCAAGGAGGAGTTGAACTCGTTTAAGATGGTAAGATTGCTCTTCTCTCTCGTTTCCACCAGTTCTCCTTTTGGCTCCTGATCTAACGGACGTGTATTTGCCCTGTAGGAAATGGAGGTCCATGAAAACTCGAAGATTTACACACACTTTTTCTAATGACCGCAACGGCTTCAGTGGCGAGGCAAATTCTCCTTTTCAGAGAGGGGGGCCTTGCCTTAATTTCTCTTCTTTCCTGTTCGTTTTGCTGCGGGCTTCTATACAACTCTACTTCGACGCGTCAACATACACACAAAACAGAAAATACCGGCGGATGTCCTCCGACGCATATTTCGAGCAACATTTCATTCCGCGGGGCGTCTAGGAACAGCATTTGTTAGGTGTCACGGCGTTGCGTATAATTTTCTTCGACATCAATTCTTCTTGCGTCTATTGATTTTTTTTCTTCTCTCTCTCTCTACCCCTCGGTCTGCGATTGGCCACGTTTTGGCTCTCAGAGGGTTGTGGTCTAGAGCCATCGAATTGCCGAAGGGAGTCTTGTGCTTTCTGATTTTCCTGTAGAGGGAGGCATAGAACTAGCATTCGGGGATCGGACTCATCCATTATGCGGAAACACACACCGGACACAGGCACAGCAGGCACAGGGGCTGACTGGGGTCCGCACCGGAGCAGGTTTTCGTTTGGGTGTTGGATCGACTTGTTGCAGATCACGCCATTGGATGTTCGAATGGTTGCGTTTCACGGATTGGCGACAAGTATTACCTGTTATTTCGTTCTTCTCTCTTTTTGTTAATTTTGTTCTAGTATGGAAGAGGAAAGAAATTAACGGGACTCGCTGGATTGAGAGACATCTCCCATGTTGAGAGAGGGGAGACTGGCACTTGGAAGTGAAGTCGAACAAGGAGAGCAACACGGGTGAGAAATTCCAGACCACGGACTCGTCAAGGGATGGGAATACCTTGCTTGCCTTCTTCTTTTTTTTTTTGTTTCGACTTGACTGTTTTGATGGTTAGGTTTGGTTGTGGAACTACAATTTTTAGCACATATTCTTTGAGAGAGCACGTCTAAGTAACATGGTAGTCGGGTCAGTGGTTTTCGATAAACTCCACGCTCTCCATTTTCTACCACATCACGTCTTAATATGAGTGCCGTGCTATAATACTGTGAGAATTGAAGTGTCTCCGGGATAAGGGAGCTGGCGGCGGCACTCCGGGCGGTAATGAGACGAAGGTCCTCGCTTCGTTCCATGAGTGATAAGATGTGAGAGAATGCCGCATCACGTCCCATTATACCTGCGCAAACACACGGCGGTATAGGGTAAGAAAACGGCACGAGAGTCGAAGAATTGCATTACGTGTGAGTATTTATTTTTTTTTGGGGGGGGGGCTCTTCCATGGTGCTTCGTCACGGGCTGCGTCAACGAGGCGTTCGGCGGTTCGCCAATACCACAACCCTTGTTTTCTATATGCCCATGGATGGGGGTGGTTCTCCGTGGCCATATAGAATCGAATTGATTGATATTTGTTGAACTTGGCCAAGTGCGTGGGTGTGTGTTCCATGTAGAGTGGTTCCGCGGTTTATGCGAAGAGGGGATACAATTGATTGTATCATCCATCTATTGGACGGGACGTGTCGTGCGGGAGCGGCGTGGGATGGATCTCTTCACGTAGATTACGAGATAGAGCCCGAAATCTAGTATCCAAGTACCGCCTCGAAACGGGGATATAAATCCATGTCCTCGGCTCCGACATTGGGATTGAGCGAGGCCTTTCATTTAAGTATGATAGATGGACACATTGAATTTACCGGGCCTCGATACATTGTTGTTTTTGGTGGATTTTTATTGAATATAAGAGTCCCATAGCGCAATGTACATGACATACCGAACATCGATAAGCGGAATCGCGTGGAGAAGCGCCCCAAGTCCTTGGTCCGAATAGTATAAAAACCAATAAAACAGAGGAATTACGTAGTAGACATACCGTAACCCGATGCAAATCGCAACCGGTGCGAAACTGCCGGCGCATCACGCACGATAAGCTCGCTGCGCAGGATATGGGACGTTGTAAGTGGGACCGTGCCATCGTCATTGTCCGCCAAGATACACCCATCGCTGCGCCATGAGACTCTGACTCCAGCATGCACACAGCTTGCCATTTTATGCGAGAGTTTTCACCTCGTCGCGTCCTTTCTTCCCCTGCAACTTCACCGGCGTGAAGACACCTATGGTATCTATTCCCCTCCACGAAGCCGGGTCCTGATCGACCCGAAAGTTGGCCATATGTGCCAGAGAACAGATCCGCCTAGGCTTTCGCGCTCATGAGCGCCATTGGTGGCTGCAGGACTTCGTGGAGATGGGTGGGATGTTTGAGATTTTCGCGGAGAGTTGATAGCCGGTGTGTAACTTGAGTTCGGTTCTTTGGGCTCGGGAGCGGTTCGCTGCTCGGGACCTGGATAATGGCTTGTGCCTGGACGAGATCTGGGAGAGAGAGCAAGTCTGAACCTTGCCTTATAAAATGCATTTCACATGACTTACTGAGGTTGAATCATCGATGAAGAAATTGCAATGTCACACACATTTCAGCACACCTATTGTTGGCAGTAGCGATGGAGTAATGGATCAATTGATGATACGGACAAAAGTTGTGTTGAACTGTTATGACGTCATCACCCACCTAGTCCAAGCTGTCGGATCCCTGTTAAACCAAGGGGAATTGTGGGGACCGGGGCCCAGCAGCCAATAGAAGACAATTCTTATTTCAGCCTTGCAGTACCAAAGCGCAAGGCAGATGCCCACTCCTGCCTTACCCAGCTTTTCCACCATCCCTTTCCAACGCCTTCCAGCTCAACCAAACTTGCATCCCCCCTTCCAAGCTCTGCACTATACCAAAGAAAATCGTCGTCGCGAAGATCAAAATTGCCACCCAAAAGGTATACCACTGCACCGAGTTGCGGCGGTCGTTCCACCAGTGGCGCAGGGTTCGCGGATTCGACTCGTCAAACGCCTGCTTGAGGATGACAAGACGGTCATGCCAGTAGTCGAAGCGCTCGAAGCGCCGGTCGTGTACGCGCAAGTTACCGAGGTGGCCCAGCGTCGGGTCGAGGTTGTGTTTACGGATCTGCTTGGAAACCCAGCGACGCGGCCGGCTACTGTCGCCCCTGGGGAAGAGGAGCATCAGGGTGCGGAGGGTTTCCTCGGCGAGGCCCGAGGGAAGGAGAGAGTTTTGCAAACTAAGAGCTTGGTGTCAGCAAGGAAAGGTTTACTGGGGTTTAGTGAGGGTATGAACGCTGCCCGGATCGTTCAATAGCGTTTATTCTATGCTCGGTAAGTCTGAACGAGGAAGGGGAACAACTTGACCGTGGTATTTCGGCGGGCCGGAGAAGGAAGCTTGAAGATGGAATAATACGATAGAAAAGAGATTTCGCTTGCGGTACTTGCCCTTGTTGAAATTTCAGGAAGCTTGCGTAGTGAAAAATGGAGACGGTGAGCCCATCATCCTTCAGCAACAGATGGTCCACGAGGTTGTCTGTCCACCTTATCTCCATGCCGCCTATATGCTTGAGATTGTGGGCGGTGAAGAGCTTGCCAGTTCGCTGATTGTCCGGCTGAATTATCCTCCCTCTCGCATTTTCGAAGTGTTGGTAAACAGCCTCGCGCAAGGATTGCGACGAGTGCCATTTCAACGGGTAAGATCCTGAAAATCCGAATCTCTGGTCGCCTACTTCCATCATGAGGAGTAGAGCTGCACAGAGATGGACCGACTTGTTGAGGCAAGACTCGACTGCGTTGGAGTGTGGCTCCCACTTCTTAAGCTCTTCGAAGGCTGCTGCTTTCTGGATATCCTGGAGGACAATATCCGCGATAGTCAGAAGATGGTTATGCGTCTTTGCGGACATGTGGATTCCGCCATCGAGAGCATATCTTTGGCATTGCCGCGAATAATATTTGAAATAGACGGCTAGGTCAAAGTCTGACGAACCTCCCTTAGGGCCGCATCTTTTCCAGAGCTCCTTCTGAAGACAATTTTCCATCCACTTTGGAAGCGGATAAGTCTGTAATGTGATGCTTTCCTCGTCGCTTTGAGTAGCCATATGCATCTGCTTATGAGAGGATCGACGCGATTAGACTTCAGGAAATATTCACTCGTCATTCGAACTCCATCTTGGTGCTCTTGCGTCGATTTTGGTCTACCAGACATTCAGCGCATTTCCGGGAACTGCGCACTGGCTCTAAGCATCGATGTCTGCCTATTCGAGCGACTTTCCCAGGCTGTCTCGAGGCGAACTCTTCGCAGGATCTAAAATGCACTTTACTACCCAATGCGCAGCCCTCAGGCCGCCGTGCAGGATGGATATCATCCACCATTGGCTTCCAACTCTGCAGTTACTTTCTACACTTTGGCGGAGCCTTGCATGCTCACCTCCATGTCGGTAGAGTTGATTTGAAAGGGCCGCCGAATTGAGGAATTGACCACCAATAAAGGAGGCGAAAGGGGGGGCTGACGCGCACCCGCCCTGGGTGTTTGGCCGAACTTTGCATCAAACCAGAGGAAGTTTCACCTGTTCCCTCTCCACTCCAACTCGCCATACTCCTTCTCATTCCTTCAGACGCCTTTCTACCAGCACTTAATTCTCTCGGAAAAGGCAGAGTCCGATTGCCATCCGAGGACGGACCGGCCATATGACTCGATCAGCGAAGCTCCCGGCCCACGATGAAGAGATGGGGCATCACTAGAGAAAGTTGCCCGTATGCTGTCGATTCAACAGGGCGACCTAGGGGAACAATCACCGTTGGCCTCTCTACCCTGCAGGTTTTCGAAGCCAAGGGAAGAGCCAGAGAAATATTTGAATCGAGGCTAAGACCAAAACTGACCGACTTCCTGGACGACGATCGTCTTGTCGAGTCTGGCCAATTCGGCAACCTCTCTCTCTATATGATAGGAAAGAGGCCGGACCGAACGAAGCCGGTCGTCATGATCGTGTCCGACGACGCACGCCTCAGGTCACAGGCACTTCGACTAGTCAATGAAAGTGGAATCATGAAAGAATTTGAGGGTTTCAAGGTCGGGCAGATGAGCTTGGCTGCTGAGTTTGAAAACTTTAGACAGCTTTCCCCGACTCGGAAACCTGCAGCCGAGCCTGGACAGATACCCGACTTCAATCGTCTGAGCTCACCACACGACCAGCCGCAGGTCGCGGAGGAGGAGACATTCCATCAGAGTACGCTGAACGAAGGACGGCCGTGTCCTCATGAGACCTCACTCAAACTAAAGAATCCGTTCTCGGCCGATATCACGGCCGCTTCTCAAATTGAGGTCTTTAGCGATCCGAGTGGGCCCATATCCGGACGGCGGTTATATGCCAAGCTTCCCGGTGCCACTGAGATGGGCACTCAGTCCGCTACCCTAGGCGGGGTATTGTCCTACCAGGGCCAATACTACATCCTGACAGTTGGGCACTTCTTGGAGTCCCTGACATCCCCTGAAAAGATCGCGGTTCAATCCTTGCCCCAGCCTTCTGAAGACATACCTACCTGCGAGATCTCCGGATTGAGCGACTTTGAGGATGATGGTGATGATGACGACAACGACGATGACGATGACGATGACGATCTTATAAGAGCCACAAGTCGGGGAAGTATCACCCCCGAGGAGACTGAAGCGGAACCTTCCAGGTCAAGCTCAGTATCAGACCTAGACAGGGCTTCATGTTCCTCGTCTGCGAGCATCATGGATCCAGGGGAACAAGCCCAGCTGCTTGACTCGATAAACAAGGCCTTTACCCCGGACAAACATACGGAAGCGCCAACCACCTTGAACGAACCTCCTGTCAAAATTGGGGAGATCGTTATGCACTCGAAAGCCATGGACGTGTCCCTAGTGCGGATCACCGGTGATCCCGCCACAAGTCTAAGGGTTTCATCATCCGAACTTCAGGACGCCTCCATCCCGTTGGAGGATTACGAGTGTCACATCGAGTCCGCAGCTAAGGATACCACCATTAAGGTATACTCACATGGCGGTATAATCAAAGGCATCTTGTACGGAACCCCAAATTTTGTTCGAATTCCGTATTCCAGGAAGTTCCAGGAGGTTTTCGTGGGCAAGCTTTACCGACCACTGGTTCCGGGCGACTGTGGTTGTTGGGTACGGGATTCCGTGACGGGGAAACTCTTTGGCCAGGTAATTGCCGGCAGCCCGACATCGGGGCTGGTAATGATGATTCCCGCCCGAACGATGCTTGAGGAAACTCTGAAATCCTTCCCTTCAACAGGCACTGACGACCAAACTACAGTGCCCCGAACGGACTTGGAATGGCCACGTAAAGAAACTTCTAAATTAAAGGGATCGGTACTTCCAATTCAGGCATTAAATTGCGAGCCAACTGCAGCCGCATCTCCGCTCCATCAGGCTGGGGCACTGCGCTGCCAGACGATCCCATCTACGTATACGCCCCAAGTGTCGTGCGGAGATGAGCCACATCTCCTAGACGACCACGTTGATTACTCCTCGGGGGAAGTTGTAAACCAGTCATTCATCGAGGTCCGTCGCCGCTTGAGGTCTACTGACACCATCCTAAATATTTTCACAGCAGCAGCTACGAATTACGACACATACAGACGCCTGTTCCCCGTCCTTGAAGCTATATGTCCAGAGAAGTTTCTCGAACAACTCAATCAGGGTACATGTGCGCCTCCCGACGGCCCAGCAGTGTGGCTTGATGATCGCAACAGAAACATGGAACCTAGATCATACAATGGACCAATGTCTATTTCAGATTTTCACAAGGCACTGCAGCTCAAGGTATGCCGCCGTGATCTGGGGTCTGAGGCCGTAAGAACTAACCGAGTCGTGGAGGTGGTCAAACAGCTGAAGGAACCGCGAGAGCCCGATGCCGACATCCGCAGAATGTGAGTAGCAATACGGATACACATAAGCTAGGAGCTAAACTTAATTCCATTACCATTATTCTAGACATATCCCTACCCCCAGTGCCTGGGCGCTAGGGGTATTGATTATAACAGCGTCCCCGATGCATGCTCCCGTGCTCCGGGAATTTCTCCGGGGCCATCTCGATGGAGTTTCGTCAATCTCTTCTGGGCTAACCGTATGTGTCCATAAGGTTCCTGAACGCTCCCCCTAATGGATGAGAAGCTAATTTTATCCCCCTTCCTTTTGGCCCTCCCCTCATAGTGTGGAGAGCCGATCTTCTCGATGCAATTCCACATGAAATTCCCCGTTTGGAGATGCCAATCCCAGATTCGGGAGGATAATAGAAAGGGCCGGAACGGAGATCTATTAAGGAAGCGGACTGACCTTGGGTTCTTGACTGATACTCCAGAAGTTCTTTACGAAGCACAAGCTTCGGCGGCTATAGCGATAGACACCAGCCGCGACTCCAATTGGGTCGTGTGGTCCCTGATTGACAATTGCTTTGAACCAGAAGATGCCGACAATAAAGCCTCCTTGTTGTACTATGCGAAGTCGACTTTTCCAGTACGCCCCGACACCGATACCGGCGAAGCCTCTATAAATACGCCGCTCGATCCTCTTACAGGTAGTATGCGATGCGACGGTCTCGTTCCTTCCGACCCTAGATCGTACTTCCTCCTTGTTATGAAAGAGCGTATGAAATACATCCAGAAAGAGTGGCTTAATACGGTCGATAAGCTAGTGGGAACCGCTGGTGAATATGTGAGTAACTCCTCAACCTTTACCTCTGTCTTATCCCCAAAATTCACGCTCAGCACCTTACAACTAGCATTCTACGCCTATATTATACTCTTTATTTGGAATTCTATTTCTCGTTAGAAGCGCGTTGAAAGCTGATTCGGGGGTTAAGCGATATCCCAAGTCGTTGCTTTGTCTGCCAACTCGACAGGGACAAAGGAAGGAGGCGATGCGAGTGGTTCAAATAAAGTTCCTGCTTTCGGATCTCATCGATATTCTACATGAGAACCTGCATGAGTGGGAATCCAGTGAACTCAAACGCAGCCTCTATTTTGAGTCCTGCAATTCGGCGGAAATCCAAGACTTAGTTTTCGAAATCTCAGAAATATACTACAGTCTTAGAAATATCTCCAATAGACTTGATTGTCTACGAGACATGTACGAAAGATTACGGATTATGGTATGTCATATTGGCCACTCCCGACCGTATCAAGATCCCATCAGCTGACCCAACTGTTTCCTCTCCCGAATCCTCAGCTTTGTGGGGAGCTCGAGAATGCCGAGAACGACTATGCGCCGTATTTGGTGCACTTCACCGTTTTCGCGATCCTATGTGTCATTCCTTCGGCCCTTGTTTTAAGCGTTATCGCATTCAAAACCCCCGCTTTATACTACCTCCTCGTCTCGCTCCGTCTCGGAGCTGTAGTCCTTGTATTTCTCTGGCCTGGTTTCGTAATCTCGAGAGTCCTTCTCGGGGTCGTCCTTCCATCCCTCCAGCTTGGGAGGCCAAGCTGGTGGGGAAGCTCATGAGGAGACGACGCCAGGCCGAGGATAAAATGGCCTTAGAAGGAGCCTCCTGAGTTGACAGGAAGCTCGCCGTTGGGGAATACAGCAGGGGAGGAACACGGCGTCTAATAGGCCGGAGATTGGGAATTAGATGTGACCTTCGTGATAGATAACTAGGTATCGATATGGTTGCGTTCTATTCGTCGAGGATATTTGATTCTAGGCAACAATAGTCAATTGCAGACAAGCCTCTGGCTTCATAGGAGTTCTAGTCCGGCTATTTGGTTCTATATAGGCCGAAAAAGATTTTGCCAATGCTTCTGTCTGGCATCACGTAGAGGCTTGTCTGCTGGGTGAAAGGGCGTCCAGAGATGGTTCCGCCGTCAACCCGTGGATGCTGCGAGAATGATGCTATCTCCAAGGTACATGAATCCTGAGGTACTTTCGAAGCAAATCTGGCGTCCTTGAGGCGAGACATTGCAGTGATGAAATAATGCAGACGAAGTCGCGTTGAGATATCGTTATTACGTCATGGCCGAATGAGGCTTCTTCTGTCTGAGCTGTCAATCCCTGTCAGACCAGGGTACAATTGAATTGTGGAGACAGATCCTGCTGCCAATAGAAGGCGATTCTAGTCTCAGCCTTGCAGTACCAAAGCGCAAGGCAGAAACCCACTAAATTTTTTTTCTTCTCTCCAACTTTAGCGCATTTTAGAGCATTCGCTCCGGTGACTCTAAGCGGAGGCGCCGCACGACACGACTCTTTTTTTTTTTTTTTTTTTTTCCACGAAACAACCCTCCCCCCGACACGTGCAACCCCCCTTTCGCCTCTACAGTAAAGGGTAGATTCGTAAGAGTGAGAAGGAAAGGCAGGAGCAAAAATCAGCGACAGTGGCTACGATAAGTCCTGGGCTGAGACTTTACAAGTCTCTGGCGGCTGCTCTGCGACGATACCTTCCGTTCGGCATGGCGGGCAAGCGCGACGATGGCGCACCGCCGAAGAAGGCCAAGTTGGTCGGCAGGGCGTTTTACGAGAGTATAGGGAGTCCGAAGTACATTCTGGCACCCATGGTTGATCAATCCGAGTTTGTGAGTGAACCTTTCTTTTCCTCTTTTACGATTGCATTTCTCTTGTCGATGCCAGGGGTCCTAACCGAGGTTTTTTTGGTTGCAGGCGTGGAGGATGCTCTCAAGATCATACATCCCCCCGTCGCAGAAACCCCCTTTACTAGCCTACACCCCAATGCTCCACGCCCGCCTCTTCGCCGAGACCGAAAAATACCGACGAACAAACTTCCAAGCCACGAATCCCGCCTCCCCAACATCCCCCGACTCCCCCTTCCTCGACGGCAACCCCTCCATCGACCGCCCCCTCATCGTCCAATTCTGCGCCAACGACCCCAACTGGCTCCTCCAAGCCGCCCGCCTCGCTGCCCCCCACTGCGACGCCGTAGACCTCAACCTCGGCTGTCCCCAAGGCATAGCGCGCAAGGGCCATTACGGCAGCTTCCTGCAAGAGGACCAAGACCTCATCTTCCGGCTCATCAGGACGTTGCGCGACGAGCTCGACGTACCTGTGACGGCCAAGATACGCATCCTCGAGACGCGAGAGGCGACGCTGGCGTACGCGCGCAACGTGCTCGAGGCGGGCGCGAGCATATTGACCGTTCACGGACGCCGGAGGGAGCAGAAGGGGCATTTGACGGGGTTGGCGGATTGGGAGGTGATTCGGTTCCTGAGGGAGAATTTACCACCTGAGACTGTGCTTTTCGCGAATGGGAATGTTTTGCGGCATGAGGATCTCGATCGGTGTATTGAGGCGACGGGGGCCGATGGCGTCATGTCTGCTGAAGGAAACTTGAGCGACCCGGGCATTTTCGCGGTGCCTCCCGCCGATGGAGAGGGAGGGAGGGAGTACTGGCGCGGAAGGGACGGAAAGGGCGGTTGGAGGGTCGACGGTGTGATGAGGCGGTACCTGGATATTCTGCACAAATACGTCGCGGGCGTGGAGCCGCCGGCGCGGAGACCGCTGTTCGTCCCCGGAGACGACGAGGGCTGGCTTGTCGAACGGGAGGAGAACGGAGAGGAGGAGGGACCCGCGCGGAAGAAGAGGAAAAAGGAGAAGAAGGACTACGTACAGAATGGGAATTATTCGGCCATGCAGCCGCACATGTTTCATTTGCTGAGGCATTTGGTGACGGTTCACACGGATGTGAGGGACGCGTTGGCGCGGAGCAAGAAGGGGGATCTGGAGGCTTATGAACAGGTGTTGCTCATGGTGGAGAGGAAAGTTGCTCTTGGCCTCCTTGAGTACGAGAAGGGCAAGGATGACGGGTTCGAAAACGGAGAGGGGGAAAACGGGGAGGACACGCTGTCGGAAATCGACGAGGAACTCAAGGCCGAGAGCTCGGAGGCGGCGATCAAGAGGTGTAAGAGGCCCTGGTGGATCACCCAGCCTATTATTCGGCCTTTGCCGATGGAGGCGTTGGCGAAGGGGAGTATTACGCTAAGTAAGAAGAACATGGCTGCTATGGGGGTGGAGGTCGATGTCGTGGAGAAGACGAACGGGGCGGGGGATGAGGCAGCGGAAGAGAAGCCGGCGGAGAGGAATCAGGAGGCGCCAACGCAGAAGGAGGAGGTTGTGGCATAAACATCTGCGAGCTTGGATAGACTTGGGGATTTTGATACACTATCGTCACATAGCGAATGAGACTCGATTGCATAATGTACTCCGGACCGAAGCTTTAAAATTCACAGCTCCAAGAAAATGTACTTCTCGGAACGCAACATAGTAGGCCTTGGTATCCGCTCAAATTTCGTGAAGGTTATTAGTATCTTCTACATGATGAACGCCCTCCACTGCCTGCCTTCCGCAGTATCCCATTTCAACAATCTATACAATAACGCTCTCTGCCTTCCTGGGGCTCACTCTCTCCCCTTTATATCCTCCCAAAATCATGCAATCTTAATCATCCCTCCTCCCCCTCTTGGTCGGAGGCGGCGCCGGGCTCCTCGACCTCGAACTACTATACCTCCTCCTCTTCGCGTTCGCGGGACTCCTCGACACCGACCTCGACGGTGATCGAGAATATGACGGATCCCGCCCTCGACCCCTCGCATCTGGCCTCGCCGGCGAAACACTTTCTCCCCTCCTCTTAGCCTGTCGACTTTCCCGCGGAGGACTAGGAGACCTCGAGTCATATGACGCAGACCTGCGACGCGCGGGTGACCTCGAAGGCGAACGGCTAGGCGAACGACTATCGTAGTGACGTCGACCATCTCGCCTAGCCGGTAACGGACTAGCCGAATAAGAATCGCGCCTGTCCCTTCGGCGAGCGTCCGGAGAAGGGGACCTGCTGCTTCGGACGGACGAGGTCTGGCGTCTTGCGCGAGGAGGGGGCGCGGAGCGGCTGCGGCTGCGCGAGCCACCTCGCGCATCGGAGTAACGACGGCTACGCTTCGGGCTCGGGGATCGAGAGTCATACGAGCTGTGTCTTGAGCCGCGCGCTCGTCGCGGGGACACGGAACGGCTGTACGACCTCGACCTAGATCTCGACCTCGATACCGAGGAACGTCGGTCGCGAGATAGACTTCGGCCGCGACTATCTGAGCGGAAAGAATCCCTCCTCCTGCGCGTGGGCGTTCGAGACCGTGATCTAGAACGAGACGAGTACGACGATCCGGTATACGACGTGTAACTCGACACCGACTCCGAATCCGACTCCTCGCGCGGCGGCGCCGGAAGCGCAGGCTTGGGCATATTCTGTAGGAACTCACGCATCTCCTCCGTGAGGACACCCATGCCAATACTAGTAAAGTAATTGATTGAAAATCTGACGTTCCGGGGCTCGTCGTGGGGGAACAGCCCCTCGAGGCTCGGCTGCAGGAGGGGATCCTTCATCCGCTCGGCAAGCTTGTTCATACCAAGGGCTTCCGAGATCTCCTGGAAGAGAATCTTGACAAAGATACGCGAGGACGAGGTCGTCGCATCCTCGGTCATTACGATGGCCGACATGCAATGCCAGCCGATAGCGTCCGACGCGAACATGTGGCCAAAGAATCGCGCGACGTTCCTCAGCCTGTTCGTCTCATAGCGGTGGATGGTGTCGTAGGTCGTTTTAAACTGTTCTTCGAAGAGCTCGTTCCACAGCCTGTTGAGCTTCGCGAACCTCTCGCCGATGATGCCGTAGAACTTTTGGTACGTTGTCGCCTGGCTGCAGCACTCGACGATCATGGATGGCAGCTCGGGCTCCTGGCCAGGGGGCAGCACAATTTTCATAAGCTTGTGGACGGCTTCCTCGGGGGAGATGGCGGACTGGATCGTAAGGTAGATGGTCCTTCGGAGATTGACCAGGTCCGCGTTGGTTTGGTCCTTGATTTCCATCGCCTTCTGCTCTTCGTCTTCTTCATCCTCGGAGCTTTCGTCCTCATCCTCGTACCCAGACTCTTCCTCGTCGTCAGTTGCCAGACCCAAGATCTCCCGTTTAAGCTGATTATAAGCCTCCTCTGATTTCTCAAAATCAGGGTCGAACTTGAAAATGTTGAGGGAATCCTCCGTGTCCAAGTCGCCGTCAAGCTCGACGTAGTGCGTAATCATGTCGTCCTCCTCCAAAAGATCAAGCTCCTCGCGAATCGCCGGGTTATCCTTAAAATTATCCTTGCGGATCTGGAACAAGACCTCAACGGCGTATTGGACCCTCTTGTCGATTTCCCCCTCATGAAGAACGTCGCGGAACTTGTCAAACACGACACGCGCAGCCATGGGCTTCATATCCGTCAAAAACTCCCCGATCTCCTTCATGAAGCCCACCGCAATCTCAACCGAGTCATCCGTCGGCTTGTGAAGCAGAAGTTGCAGCATCTGCAACGCCAGATTCTCATGAATGACCTGGAAGTTGACGAGGTGCGCAATGAACGTCGTGGCCGCAAGACACACCTTCTTATCATCCCGACGGAACGACTTGCGGAACTGCACAACCAGCCTCTTCGCCAACAACTCTCCCACCAGCGGAATCTTAGAATTCACAACAGCCGTAAGCGCCGCGTAAATAGGCGTGAAGCTCAAACTCGAAGCCTGCGCCCTCATTATGGCACGACAAAACGCTCCCCGACCACGCACAAGGTTCTCCTCGAACAGCTCGGGCACGAGCGACTTGATGTTTCCCAGGTTGACCTTGTTGATGATGCCCGTGATGGACTTCTTCAGCGCCTCCCAGTGCAGCTTCTGCTTCAGCCGCGCGCCCTCGGCACTCGTGTCTTGCTGGATCTGTGCCTGCAGGGCCCGCAACCGAGCGGGTGGGATGTATGTGCCTCCACTGCGCATGTCCAGTAACTTTTGGTATTCGGCTTTCAGCATGGCTTGTTTTTCCTCTTCTGTCCGTTCGGGCGGCTGAACAACGGGCCGCTCCTGTTTCTGGCGCGGTGGTGGCGAGCGGTCTCGAGCCGTGGACGCCGCGGGACGGTATCGATCACCGCCTCGATCTCGACCTCGCTCGTGGTTGCGGTCACGGTCTCGTTCGCGGTCCCAGTCATCGCGGCGTCTCTTTCGATCCGGTTCGCGGTCGCGATCTCGATCCCTATCTCCATTGCGGCGGATATCATCGCGTGGCTTGGAGGAAGGTGCCTCGTTCGGTGGCGATCGCTCGCGAAGGGGTCGAGGCGACTGCACCTCCGGGGATGCCATCGTCGGATGGTTCTATCGAGGATGCGTCAAGAAACGAGGGAAATGGGGAAAAAGGAATGGTTTGCAAAGGGAGGTTGATGGAGGCGAAGTTTGTGGCGACGCCTTGAATTTTTAGCTGGCAGTCACGATGCAGGCAGAGTGCAACCAACTTGTGACCAAACAAGAGAGAACAATTCTTAGTAAAAGGTTTCGTCGTGTCGCCGAGTAACTGCCACCTGGCAGATTGAATTACAGTTGCTACCAGGTGTCAATATTCAACGTGCCACACGTCAGTTTGAAATTGGCGGATTGAGTCGCGTCCACTCACGTAATGACGAAGTATCTTCGATTTGCGCTAGCATCGTGAATGAAGCCAGGTTGACCTGACCTCAATCCCAGTTCACAAGCACACACTCCATCCGAACTCCCTCGAAGCCGCAGTTGCAGAATCACCATTACAACACTCCCCAAATTCCACTGCTCAATTTCCACCCCCCAGATAAACTCAACCGACAATGGTACCGAGCTCCCCCCCTAAAATCGCATCCACCCCTGAGCTAAGAATGACCTCAAGCTAACACAAGGAACCCTCTGACGTCCCAGCTCGACAAACTCGTCGGCCTCGCCATGCTCGTGGCTGCCTCCGTCATCTTCCTCTACTACACCCTCTGGGTGCTCGTAATGGTAACTTTCCTCCCCGCGCCATCACTTCTTTCCGCAACCCCCCCAAGTCTACTCGAGCAAGTTCCCCCCCGCTAACAGAGAGCTTCTCAGCCCTTCGTCGACGACGACCACGTTCTCCAGACTCTCTTTCCCCCTCGCGTCTGGGCCATCCGCATACCCGTCATCCTCATCCTTCTCGGCTCGGCCGTCGTCGGTTCCTTCATCGGCATGGTTATGATCCGCAGCAACAGGAAGAAGGCAGCAAAGGCCAAGGCCGCCGCCAAGAAGAAGGCGTAAAGGATGGGAGGAATAAATATATAATGTTAGATCTTCTGGAAGGAGGAGGGAACCGGCCGAAAGAAAAGAAGGGGGAGGGTTTGGCGGTGGTTACTGGGTTTTTTTTACATTTCCCTCTGGCTCGCTTCTTTCATGGGTCAGTACGGCGTGTATTATAGGATGTAGAACATTTATGAAGCTTATAATCTGGAACCTTGGAACCTCTTTAGACTCACAGTCAGATTTGGTAGAAGCGATGTCCAGAGTAATGGCGAGCATAATCTCCTCGGTCTCCAAACTGCCGACATCGTTACTTCTTCGACACATCACAATCAGCAGGCCGAGGATACCTGGGTATCTATGCTATCTCTATTCAGGTTAAAATAAGTATAAACGTTAAGTAGCCTCCAACTATGTCTCCTTTCCACAAACTTCTAAAAAAAAAAAAGGAACAAACTGAAGCAGGCCGACAACATATGCAGCAAAACTAGCCATGCCCGAAAATCATCCGAATGAATGCCTCCATGAAAGGAGCTGAAGAAAAGAAAAACGCCTAAATACCTGTGCACAAGCTGAGAAAGAAGAAGGTAGAGGAGAGATGGCCAAGAGCAAGCAGACCCGACGGCGGATAAAAACCAAATTCCCTCACACCCACGACACACGAACCTTAAATACCATACGATGAGCAAAAGTGCGAGGAATCAGACAAAAAACAGGATGATATTCCGAGAAAGCCCTTGGGGGAAGAGAGACGCCCTATGTAACGTGATAAACTGGATATGCATGAGAAAAAGAGAAAACAAATGTGTTCCCTAACCCTAGAATAACTCGAACGAATCCTTGCAAGCGCATGCATCAGGCAAGAAAAAAGGCCAATAAAATCACCCAAGTCACGTCTCAGACCCGCTGGTCAGCAAAATCCAGCACCTCACAATCATCCTCAAAGAACCCATCATCTTCGTGTTCGGCATGACGAGCTCCGCGGCGTCGTCGCGTCGTCACGACAATCTGCTCCTCATTGGCGCCCACCTGCAGCACCCTTTCCATAGCGGAGGCTGGGAGAGCGCGATGGTCGTCCGTGAGAACGAGGGACTCGTCGATGTTATCCGGCAAGCCTAGGTCGAGTTTCGTCGCGGTGATGCTCTGGCCAAAGGCCCAGGGGTCCGAATTGAGCGCACCCAACCCATTGCCGCCGGCTGCAAAAGAAATCTTCCCTTTCTTCTTTTCCTTCCTCTTCTTTTGTGGCAACGAGGCGGAGTCATCTAGAGACAAATCTGCTAGAAGATTGATATCCATGGCGGTGGGTCCGTTCCGCTCACCGTACGCATATAGCGAAACCCGCCTATCCGTGTGGAACGGCTGGTAGGGAGCGCTCGATTCGATCTCAGCCTGAGGAATTGCGGACTCCGTTCCGACGCCGGGCTCCACGATGCGAGGCCGAGCATCCAGCGTCACGGTGTTGCCGGCATCCATATCCCGATCGGAGAGATACATCTCATCATCCCCGTTGATAAAGTGTCTCACCGTCTCGGCGAGAACATTCTCGGGGATTCCAGGCACGTTAAAGTCGCGATACATTCCTCCCCGAGAGGGCCTGCTTGAATTCTTGCGCGACTTGGAAGGGAACATGCGAACGACGCCGGCGGCCGAAGCGAACAGGGTCCCGCCGTGCTTCCTCCGAGTAATCCACGCCACACAACCAAGTGCGGGCAGGACGTGGCTAGGTGGGAGAGTCACACGATTCTCCCCTGTCTGTCTCAGCTGATTGATCGCATTCCCAGTCTTGCCCAGCGAGTTGCTGATAGTAGCGGCAATCGCCCTTCCACCTAGACTCGCGGAATCGACAATGTTGGAGCCGGTGAAGCCCGCCGAGTTCGCGCTGCTCCTTCGCGGACGACTCATCAGGGGCCGGGCAGCTCCCAGCGCGGCACCAAGGGCACTAGACGCGATCGAGACGGCCGAGCTAGGGGTCTCGGACGAAGCGGCAGCACTCTCTGGTAGATCCCGTCGCCGACGAGGCGGGGGCCAGATAAAAGCGCTTGAGGGCATGTTGAGGAGATGAATAGTACCGCGTTCTGTCACCATGGCAATCCGTTCGCCGTTCGGCTTCGTCCAGGCAACATCAACGATTCGGGCAACCGTCATCCTCGAGAATTGCGCGATTTGCATCACCCTCGGGCCACCGCCGCTTGGGGCAGCTAGGACTTGTTGCTGGAGCAGGGACGACTTGGTGCACTGGACCCTTGACAAGTCCCACACCGTTTGCACATCTCCCTTGCTGCTCACGGTGAAGAGAGACATTCCGGTCGGCGAAAAGGAAAGGAAGCTACATCCGAACGGTGCGGCGAACGTAGCGACTGGGTGGATGGAAGATGAACCGCCAAGGGTTTCGATATCGGCAACGGAGACGACGCCGGGATCCTTGGTGGCAGGCAGGCTTGTAGTTCCGTGAGTGGGAGGAAACTGGGTGGTATCTTGTCTTGGCGGGTAAGGGGTTGACCACGGTGGAAGCGGGGCCGGAGGGGATCGCGCCGCAATCTGCGGCTGGTTGGGCGACTTGTTCCAGTACGCATTCCAAGCCTGTTTCCCTTGCTGGCCAACCCACTTTGCCCCTTGGATGATGTCCTGGGTCGTTTCTCGCATCAGTTTATTCATGATGCCCTCGGAGATTGGGAGGTCGGTAGCCAAGTTGGGTGTCGGAATTGGCGGGGCGGTGATATTAGCAACGCCGGGTGCCTTGCCGATCAAGGGGACGGGTACATGTGCCCGCAGAGAAATCTGAGATGATTGCGTCGGAGGACAGTACGCAAGCCACCGGCCGTTCAAGGCCAGGATGGGCGTGTTCGGCATCGTTTGCCGGGGCGGGGCCGGCGAGAGGCGGGACCGATCGTTTTCCTCCTTCCCGTCGGATTTTAGACCGCGCTGGATGCTCGTCCAGAATTTCGCAGCGCAGCCAAAGCCAATGCTGGCTCCTGGTCTGGGCGGAAGCTGGCGATACAGCCAGCATTCTCCAGTAAGACCCGACGAAACTACAATCGTATTGGCATCGGCTCGGATATGAAAATTACCCGTGGGCGGAGGAGGTGAGAACATGTGACTCGTGATGGCCACGGATGACTCGATAGGCACCTGAGAGGCCTGGAGAAGTACATCCACACGCCGGCTTGTTCTCAGCGAATAGACCTCCACGGACGTCTGATAGTATTCGATGAGTTGATTCGGCCCTCGCACAACAGCGGCATCTACTCGAGGGCTTCCAGGGGTGCTAGACCTGGCGCCACCAATGCCGGCCATGGGTGCACTCTGTGCGTCTTGCTCAGCGGAAGCTGTTGGCAGAACTGGCCCATGGACGACGACAGCAACGAGAGGGTACACATCGGGTTCATCGGCGTCGGTGTCGGCGGAGGATATCCAAGGCAAGATCTTTGCATTGTACACCCCACCTCGCAATCCCTTCAGACTTGCGACCGGATCCAGGCCTCTCTTCGACACAGCGTACACTTCCAGACCACCCTCATACCCAGCAACAATGACACTATCGGAACCGGGCGTCGGGTCAGGATATCGGTGGGGCAAAGTATCGAAAGCAAAATGGTAGCCTCTCTCACCAGCCTTGAGGCCACTATTCGACGCAATATCAAGATCTAGATCAGGCACTCCATAGAAGTGCGGCTGGGCTTGATGGGGGAGCGGGGGCAGGGAAGGCACACGAGCGTGGGAAAATTGAGATGAAACGGAGCTACGGCGGTAGGAGGGCGCCGTCGGGTGGCCACGCATATCGGCAGGTCCGTCGAACTGCATGCTGAGGGGCCTTCGTGAACCACTCCGAACAGACGGAGACGGAGACGGCGCGGGTTGTGGACTCATATACGCCCGTGGCGAGGCCCAGTTGGAGTGAAGGCGAGTCGAGTCCTCGTAGGACGACGGTTGTGTCGGTGGTGATTCTCCCATTAGGCCGACGAGATTTCCGGGGGAGCCAGAAAAAGCTCCACGCATCCAGTCGGTGCTAGGTGCAGTGCTAGCTGAAACGGAGGTTGTAGACAGAGCATCTAGAGATGGAGATGGGGCTGTCGTGATGAGGCTGGCATTATTAGAGGTAGGCACGACGGTCGGCTTGACGGCGGGCGACTGCACGAGAGGAGACGAATTATTGGATGAAGAGCTCTTGCTAGAAGCAGGACCGTTCCTACTCAATCCGAGTGTTAGTTGCGAAGCTCACATAAGGGGTCGTGCATGATGGTCGAACAAAGGAATAATTCAAGGACTGGGAAGGTTGGGAAGTAACGAAGGACTTGGAAACCAGAGTGGGCCAGTGATTTGGCACGTACATCGACTTGTTGCTGGCCAACTGCTTCGCAACCGCCGCGGCAACACCGCCATCTCTCACATGCTTTCCTTTCTTCGGGCCTAGTAATTCACAAGTGTCAGAGAGAACTATTCTATCTTCCTTCGAGGAGCCTGGCGATACGGGCGGGGGTGACGAGGACGTACCGGGCATTCAGAGAGCTTCCAGGCGGCTGCACGCAGTCGCCTGCGCGTAGAATGAGAAAGAGGAGAGTTACACCCCAGCTCTCGCTTCCCGGATAGCTCGGGCGCTTCAGGGCCGGGTATCGTCCTGGTCGTGTCCAGAGGTAATCGGATAAACGTCCGGATCTAGCCGCAGTTACACTACTCCTCTCTCGACGTGTTCGGTATGAGGCGGGGGAGTATAGAAAAGAGTGAAGCCCAGGTTGGGTTGTTCGGAGCGAAGATGAGTGCAATAAGGGGGCGCCAACTCAGTAGTGCAGAAGGCGCAGGCAGAAGGTAGTTGAAGTCTTTCTTGATCGTGTCGTGGAAAGAGGATCGGTCGGGGTCGATGACTATGTACGGCGAGCGAATTTCGGCGGGGGACGGAAACAAAATGAAGGAGGAGCGATCTCTTTGATGGGCACAGCCTGAAGAAAGAGATTAAAAGCAAGTCTATAGAGCTAAGCTGAAGCACAAATATTATATCGATATAGATGGAAAAAGAGAAATAAAAACACAAGAACACTATAGTTGATTCTAGAAAGTTTAATCTTTGGTCGCGTTGGCGATTCGGGTGGGAATGGAGGATTCGAGGCGGGAGCTAGTCGGAAGTAAGTGGTCAAGAGAGCAAGCCTTAGTACTTGTAATCCCGGTGATGGATGCCAGTGTGAGCTACTGGAGAACAAAGGGGGCGTGAGAGGAGGGGGACCTGGCCAAATGAGGGAGATTCAGGTCGGCGGGGGGTAGCCCGAGTCTCGAGTCAAGCTTGGTTGAGGCCTCAAGGCGGGGGCAGAAGTTGTGTACGTTGTGTACTCATCCACTTTGTGTCCGTGAGTTACTTTGTAATACGCTGTGAGTCTGTCCGTGAGGAGGAACGCGTCTGGTGCTGGAGTCTCGAGGGCGGTTGACGCTGATGGTGGATGAGACATCGGCGAGGGAACGAACAAGGTTGAGGTGTGAGTCGTCAGCTGTCATCGGTCATCGCTTGGCTTGCCAATGTATTCTCGAAGTACCTTTCATGGTTCCCTGAGGCAGAAGGCACATAAGGCAACCTCGTCGTGGGTACCTACTTCTTAGGTGTGTGTAATGCTCCACCAACGTCCACAGCTCAGCTTTTGGGCGTTTATGCCCTGGTATTTCACTCTATTCCCCTGTGATGGGAACCGGGCGGACATCAATTGATCGTCATTGACTATTCGGGTGTGAACTTGTACCTCGCCGTACTTTGTTCCGAGCGAGCACTGCATTTCCCCATATTGCACACCAAAGTGTTACAGCTTTGTACCTGCAAGTGGCAGCTCAACAGGGGCGGGTACCTGGAGAGGGACATCGATGTTGCAAAGAGTGAGGGGTTTGAGGACCATTACGTCGTGTTGGGGCAAATGGGGGTTTGCTCGGCAAGGGAGGGCGGGGTATCAACCTCAAAGTGCTATTGTAGTGCTGGCGCATATTAATACAACCAGTGTACAAACGCTATTATGGAGCCGATTCATTGATCGAATCAATCAACACAGAGGAAAGGGCAGCGTGGAGGAGGGGAGGCGTTCTCAGGGCAGGGTATAGACAGACGTATAGATGACCACGGCGACTCGAATCTTGAGATTGAGAGGAGAAAACCAAAGTGGACGTGCACTAATTGTTGACAGCGATAGGTTGGTGCCAACCTCAATAACACAGCTTGGACTACCTGACGTCAACACTTCGTATAGTAAATCGATTTTGATCCATTGATAAAACCTACAATGTGTTGATAAGATCGACGGCTTACAAGTAAAGTGTGGCCAGCTGAGAGGTCCTCTCATCTCATGCGCCGCTTCCTCTTTTGCGTATCAGGGCGTATCACGAGTCGTATGCCTGGCAACAACCAAGATGGAAAGCACATTCGTACTTTGAAGTATTGATTACAATTAGTTGATGCCTCTTCACAGCTCCTGCTATTCCTGAGTAATTGTCTACGAAGCAGACCTCAACATTCATGTTCTTCGTTGTACTACTTACCAGTTGCGGTGCTGTTCTTGGAGACTCCGACTTAGAAGTACCCCGATGACATATTTGAAATACCCCTCATGCACCCATCATCGCAAGCTGCACCGAGTGATTCATTTATTCTCCCGGTCGTCGACTTATTACACCCGCTGCAGGCGCTCAGAGGGTGGTGTTCTGGGGTTGGTCCTGGACCACGCAAATTACCCTCCACGGCAGATCGCCTTGTCCAACATCACCGAGTCACCGAAAGCCCATATCCGGCCTGGCCTCTTCCTTCCATGAGCTCTCTCATTCCTTCATTCCATTCTAATACGTACGACGATTCCGAGTCACGTCATCAATCCCCTTGACCCCCATGAATTAACATCCATTCCTCGACAAAAGCCCCCAAAAACCGACTGACAAGGACGCCATACAAGTCCGCACCGAGTCAGAGTCGCCACACCTATCCTATCCGATCCGATCTTATCCTTCTCCCACCCCTCATTTGCCCCCCGCACACATCCCACCCATCTCCTCTGTAAGTTCACCACAAGAAAGGGACACCGTTTAATATCGAAGTCTCCCAGAACGAGAAATGCCCACCTGACCGGGAGGGTGTGGGGAACGACACATCGGGACTTGTCCAAGTGCGACTCGCGACGGACCCTTTCTCACCACTTAGTCTAGGTGGGCTGAGATTAGCCTTTCCTTCCAAAGGGAGGGCGTGACCAAGTTGAAGGCGTGTGGGTGTGTCAGAGCCAGCCACAGTCAGGCGAGCGAAATGCTGTCGGCCGGCTTTTTCAGGGTCTTGATCTTCCCTTCTCGTCGTGCATTTTGATGCGTCCGTACTAAATAGGAGGGTTGGAAGAGCGTAGATTGGTGTGAACAATGCAAGGTCCCCTCCCCTTTTCTCCTCCGCGCTCCAAGCCAGGTCCTCCACCAGAGACGTTAAGATGTCCACACCGCCTGGCAGGTAAGCAAGCGCTCGGGCTTTTATCTTGAAATGAGCTGTTCTCGATTGCAATCTTCGCTTATTAGTGCCGTCTTATCGATACCAATAACTAGCTAAGAAGATCCCAATTAGTGTAGAGGACTAGATGATTGATAGGAATTCTAGCCCAGGTCTTAGTTTCCTCATCGTCTCGTTTCAGGAGAATATCTATTAAGAGTCACCTATTAAAGATAATTCCCTATCTCCTTGGCGCTTCCCTGGACTAGATGCATCGCCCGTCCGTTATAAGCTAATCCAAGAGAAAAAGAAAGGAAAACTTGGGATTCAGCATGAACAAGATTAAGCGAATGACGGAATACATTCCCAGCATCTCGGGCCACTACGTCACCGTTCATTGAACTTGGCCCCGCGAATAACCACCAGCCATCGAGCTCCACGGGTGTCTCTGCCTTTATTTTCCGAAGAGCGGACAGCATTGATCCTGGTTTAGTATCAATCTTGGACCCCACACACCATCTCATCAGAAAGGATTCCCTTGACTTCGACGCCCGAGCGAGGATTGTTCCTGCGTCGATGCAAAGGTAAGTAAGTAATTGAAGACCTCACGGATAGATTCGCGTCGATGGTCCTCTAGCACAAGTAGCAGCTCTCATGAACCTGGTGAGACAGACGATGTCATGATGCAAAACAACAACATCTGAAAGCCACCAACTTTGAATATCAGGAAAATTGTCTTGGTATCTAATCCTCATACCACCCCTGCGCGCCATGCCGTCCCCATTTGGTGAAATATATACTGTACATTTGCTAAAAGAAGAAGAAAAAAAAACATTTCGGTTCCTTCCCCACCAACAGCGATCCTTCTTCTTCACTTCTTCACTCCCCTCGCACTCACTTCTCCCTTCTCGCCAATATTAAGCCGCACGCGACAATCCGGACAATACCACTTCGTAGTCCTCGCCGGTATCTCCGCAAGATCGACGCACTCAAGATGGAACCATTCGCCCTTACAATTCTATTGAAGAAGAAATCAGCCATGTCAGCCGCAAACTCATAAACTGCGTAAAAAGAAAATAAGGGTAGGGAGACAGAGGAGAAAGAAAGAAAGAAAAATAAAAAGAACTTACATCCGTGTTATCGCACTGAATCATCGTCCCAAAGCTCACCCCATTACACCGACAATACCTCGGCTCATCCGGATCAATAGGATTCCCCTCATCATCCACCTCCTCCATCTCCGTCTCCACCTGCTGCTGCCCCTTCTCCTTCTTCACCGCCGTCGTCGCCCGGGCCTTCTTCCGCGGCGCCGCCTTCCTCTTACCCACGGCGCTGTTACCGCCTGAGTTCGTAGTCGTGACGACGCCCGGGGCAGGCCTCCGGGCCCTCTTACCTAACTGTCGCTGCTGCTGTTGATGATGTTGATGGTCCGGCGCCGGTGTGGTCCGCGCCGTGCTGGACCTCCGAGGCCGATCGGCCGCTAGCGACGGAGGCGGCTCTTGACTCGCCCCTTTTCCTCGCGAGGTTGGTCGGCGGCCGTCGGGGGCGGGCGTGGGTCCACGTGAGACGCTAGCCCGCGCGGGGACGCTCGGCTGTCTCGATGACTGCCGCTTCGGCTGTGGATGCTCCTCTTGCAGTTGATGTTCCTGTTGTTGTGAGGGTGGTTGTTGTTGTTGTTGTTGCTGCTGCTGGGCCAGTTGCACTTGCTGCTGGCTCTGCTTCTTTGCAGTGTCCTGGCGTGTCTCTCTCCGAGGAAGTTCTCGAACGGGCGGAAGGATAGGCGTGGCTGATTTACGACGCTCCAATGCCGGAGGATGAACAGGTGTTTCCGCGGGCGGCTTCGTCGGCACCGTAGTAACAACGGTAGCCGTACCGTGACCGACCGCAGGAACTGCCGCGAACGCGGGGGGGGAAGTTGACATTTTGGTAGCGGAGGCGTCGGATGATTGGCGCGGAATAGGAATTGGAACCGGAGTGGTGGACTGAGTGAGGATGACCGGAGGGGGTATCGGTGTGAGGCTTCTAGCCTGAGCACCCATGTGAGGGGTGAGTTGGGGAGGGGGAACGGGTGTTTCTGTCTTCAGTCTCTTGGCGGGAGCTGGTGTTTCCGAGCCGGCGGCTTCATCTGGCTTCTCCGCCTCAGCATCGGCACCGTTGTCTCGCTTCCTCTTATAACTCGTCCGAGTCTTGACTCTACTACCTCTGCCATTACCAGCAGCAGCAGCAGCTTCCACCGAAGCTTCAGCGTTTGGTGTGTTCAGGCCAGGTCCGCCCCCTGCAATAAGTCGCCTCGCAGCCTCAGCAAATTTCCTCTCGGCCTCTTCAGCCTCTTCCACGGCCAGCTTCGCCATAGCTTCCCTCTTCAGCTTCTTCGCCTCATTAAGTTTCATCCCTTTATTGCTGACGGGCAAATCCTCCTCTAGCGCGTCGACGCTGATGGCGCCCTCGGGGAGGACCTTCGATCCGGACTCGCCCGTAATAGGGACGGGAAGAGCAGACTCGAACGGAATCCCCTGCTCCTCCGCCTTCTTCTTCGCCTCCCGATACGCCTCGGGACCTCTACCAAGAGTCTTGAGTTCTCGAGCTATCATCGTATCGCTGGGGTTCCACACGGCGTTCTTCTTCATGCGCTTCCTAAGCCGGGCAAGTTCGTACGGAGTCAGCTGCAACCATGGTGCTTCTGTGCTTCCCGGAGGAGCGTTTTCTGGCGGCGGCTGTAGGACAATAGGCCCCGCCGCCGTCGCTGCCGCACCTGCTGCCGTTGCCGCTCCGGGTGCTGCTCCTCCTGGTAGGTTCACAGTAACGGGCTTTTGGGGACGCGCGATAGGTGGCAGCTTGGGCACTTTGGGAGTGGCGGGGGCTGTCTTCTGGGTCTTGTTGATTAATTTAATTCGTGCAGGGATACCAGGCGTTCCTCGAGACGAGGGCCGCTTGGAAGGACTCTCTGGCTCCTCGCCCGAGGACGAGGAGTCGCTATCGTCGCTGTAGGCGTTAAAGTCCAGCTCGTAAGGGGCTAGTACCTCTCCGGGAACAATGATCCGGGGCACTCTCTGGCGGCGAACGCGTTGGCCGTCTTCCGTCGTGCGAACCGCCGCCTTGGGGGTACGCGACATATGTGGCGACTTGGCCGACATGACGGGGCTCTTCTGCTGTTCCTCGGCGGTAGGGAAGTTCTCCAGCATATCCTGTAGCTTGGACAGTATAGTCTTGGCACGGTTGTAGTGTCTATTGACGTTGTCCGCCATGCGCAACGCTTCGGCATGGCTGTACATGCGCGAGGTCACCGCCCGCGACAGGGTCTTCGAGATGTCGGCTCGGAGCTCGACAGGGGAGGGTCGTGCATCGGGTGGGAGAGTGGGTAACTGGCCCCATGTCGTCGTGAGCTCATTCGCTTTGGCAGAAGCGTCAACGTAGACCTCGTCGAGCTTGCCGATGAGGGCCAGGGAGCGGATTACGTCGGAGGGGAGGTGCTCGGTAAAGTCGAGGAAGTCGGTTACGGTGGCTTGGGCGTCCGGATCGGCGCGTATTTCCATCGAGTCGATGGTTCTGTTGAGGGCCCCAAGGGTCTTTCCGATCGTCTGGTCCATGATCGATTTATCTCGGGGCGAAATAGCCTCGTCGGCTATGATCACAGCGGTTGCTTCGTTGGTCATGTCTGCGCGGGATCGCGACGCGTTTCGGGAGTATTCGGAGGTGGGTCACCTCATAGTTTTGGGGGGTAGGGACGAGTATTCGGATCAGTGATGCGTTTGGGAAGGTGCGTAGAGGTCGAGGTGATGCGCGTAGGCTAACGCGAACGATATCGATCGATGAGCCGTCGTCTTGAGCCTCGTAGAGTTGGATGCGACTGCCCGTTGAAGGCGAGGTGCTTTGCTGGTCCGTGCGGAGCTAGAATGCGGCTTCCATTGTTTCCAACCCGTGTTTTGGGTTGGCGTCTATATAGTGCCAATAACAATATGAACTGTATAGTGTCGACCACATGTTTTGCCGCCAATTCACGTGACTCACACTTGAAGCCCATCTGAGCTCGCCCATTATTCCAAGCTTCGGAATCTAAACTAGAAGGGGCGGAAGGGAAAAAGAAAAAACTGTTTTAAGAATTTCTGAACTGGTATGTTGAATTTGCAATTTGACGAGAGGTATTAAGGACTAAAAAGCAACCCTCAAAATGGTCCCTATTTCACAGATCGAATCGATCATCGTTTGCCGTAGAGCTACGATTCTTTTTCTTTTCCAGGCTCAACTCTGAGCACTCTAATAACAACTCGGGCACTGGCCGTCGTGTTGGTGCATGAGATGCTCCATTGACAGGTCCGGCCCATATCACCGTTACATCGGAGCTAATCTGAACAGAAACGAACTCGCAGCATTTGAATCCTTCAACGCCTTCCGGTTTGGCGCGATGCTTAGCGCATTTCATCTCCAAGGAATGGATTGATCGCCGACCACAGTTGTAACGAACGATCCTTCGGCATACTTCGGCCAAGGACAACATAGTTCAGCCCAACGTCGGAATCGATTCTCCGCGATCAACCCATTCTAGTGCCTAGGTAATGCATTAGCAAGGGAGCCATGAATCATAGAAGGCAGAATGCCCACCCAAGGCTCAAGTCTCCTCATCGACCTCAAGATGTGGGGACAGACAAGCCTAGGTAGGCGTATTCTTTTCGTTGCAAAAAGGCTAACCTTCTCGGTGGGAATCACACGGCACGACTTCATCAATGCTCCATCCAGGCAACCTCAAAACCTCAAAAAGTAAGAATCGCAAACCCGGGCCTCGAAAATCCTTCTTACTCTCCATCGATGACTCGAACTCCAGCGAAAAAAGAAATCGACAGTAAGCCTTTATATAAAACAGACGCGAGCCGAAGTGCTAAAAAACCGCCGGACGCCGTCAGCAACCCCCACGCCGCGTATAATTCCCCCGAGTCCCCACAAATCAATCCAAACGGGGAAGTGGTAAAGTGAACGGAAGTCTTGGTTCTTGTGCTCCCCTCCCTCTTCTCAAGGCTGCAATGCCTCACAGCCTCACCAGCTGAACGCCTGACCCACTGGTCCGGCTCCCCGCTTTCGCTAGCTGGACCCCCCATGATGCATATCGGTCTTTGTTTGATTGTTTCTCCTCTTCCGACACCCCGGTTCTCCCCGCCCTACGAAGTACACTAGGCCTTCGATCAGGCCGCATATTCTTTACATTTGGCCGCTTCTTGTGGCCTTTGGGGCGGGAACACAGACCTGAATGAATTAACAGCAAACAAAGGGGAGAAAAAGCAGTTCCCGCCCGTTGTTTGGCTGGGTCGCTTAAAGCTTGGCATGTCATAAAAATCAATGGATACGGCAATGAGCTGCAGCCGCCGTTCCTGAGCTGAAGCGCCTGGTGCCAAGTTTGGTGGTGGCACATTTGGCCCCGCTGCCAGCCCAAGGCTCGTAAAACATCAGATTAATAACGACTAGTATCAATGGGGTTTAATGAGCTGTGGTCCACTTCCGCTCTTTGTGATGTCTGCCTGGGGAGAGGATCGGGATCTGCACCGCAGACGAATAAACAGAAGGGAATTTACAAGTAATCACTAATATGTGCCCGCACAGCCTTGTGCGGCCAGCCGAGGGTAATGGCTTCAAGTTAGACTTTCTTCATGTTAAATGACGCAGAATTGGCGCTAAGTTGGGTCCTTTTGGGGGGTGTGTCGAGTTTCGCTTGCGGTTCTATTGTATCTCTATGGTGACCTCTGAGGACAAAAAGAGAAATCTGAAAACAGGGAAAAGGGAATAGGAAGAAAAGAAGCCCTGGGGATGCTCCAGGGGGTGGATGAAAAGACAGAGCCCGCTGCCCATCCCATCAAACATTCTGCGACTTTGGTGGCTCGACTCTCGAAGCCAAGCTTCTCCCAAATCTAATTCGTATCCATAATGACATTGGTGAAATAGAAAAGAAAAAGAAAGTAAGAAAGAGAGGAAAAAAGATAAATAGGAAAAGAAACCAGAAACCAGTATAGCCCTGTGGCCTATACTCAGGACCATAACAACAAAAGAAAGTGATATCAAAACAGTAGTCCAAAAATCCAAAAATCCAAAATCCTTGTACCCATCACAGTCATATCATATAATTCATACATGAGTCAAATTCCAAATGCTTGCAGAATTCATCACTGAGAATGAAGTCTACCAGTCTCGGCTGGAAGATCGAATAATCTTCGATCCCCAGATCTGCTCGGTTTCTTCCACGACGTAAGTGGAATCTTCTCCAACGAGCGTGAGGGACCCGTAGAGAGTCAGTTTTCTGCATCTCCTGCTCATTGTCAGCATAAAACGTCTTGCTTTAAGGGGAGAAGGGGGAGGATGAATAACATACAGGTAGCCATCGATGGTGAGGTCTCCATAGACTTCGAGATCGGTCGCGTCGAGGGTTCCGCGAACTTTTAGCTTTCCGTAGCTCTTTATCCTGTCACTGTAGAAAGTTAGCGCTTGAGCGAGAAAGGGACGTTGGCTTGCTTGGTACACATACTGCGCGACGAGATATCCCGTAACCACAATGTTTCCGGCGGCCTTGATCTTTCCACTTTGCAAAACGTCAGCATCCTATATCGACTCCAACTTGGAACGGGGGTTGTTTACCCGCAAGTGACGTTTCCATGGATGTCAATGCTTCCATACGCCTCCATTTTATCGTCAATGGTAAAGTCTCCCGAAAGAGTGATGCTCCTCCCAGACTTCACAGAGCCCGCAACGTCCAAGGGCCCCTGAAGAGAAACATCACCCTCGCTCCTCACGGATCTGGATTTCCTGACAGACGGGTTTCCCGATGGGCCGTAGCCAGACGAGCTGCCGCCAGCTGGGTAAGACATGGCGGAAGGGTAGTAGTGGGCTTCCATGCCACAAGTTGTTGCTTCCGAGATGTCTGGTCTTTGGCGGCCTTGTTTTCGTTCTCGTTTCCGGTTCTTTCAGTCGGTGAAGAACGGTGTAAGTGAGTGAGTGAGTGAGTGTGTTTTTTGCCTCTCAGGCGTTCCCAAGTTGCCTCAGTCTTTTGCAAGTTCGTGATGGCGAGAAGAGATGTTCGCCGGTACTCGAGAGGGTGAACGAGTGGTGGTCTGTTGAGATCGTTTGTCTTGTGTTGATGTGATAGAGAATGGTGATGGTTGATGATCATGTCCAGACGAGGGCCAGGAAAAACAGGAGATTATCGCTTCTTTAAATGTTTGTTCCTCATCCATGAGGTCCTAGGCTTTCCAGCATCGAGGCCACCGAAAGAATTTCGAGGTGTCCCTAGGCCCCAGTCCAAAAGTAGGACGGATATCTCTGCCTAATCGCAAAGCAACCCTTTTCTCTCCTTCCCGGGTGGAAAGCCATAAGAGGCAAAGCAGAGACAAAAAATAGAGGAACAGAAAAAAAGATGAGCCCACGAGACTAGTTTTTTGTGTCATAGCCCTAAAATAAGTCCTTGACTCCTCTCTTCTCACCGGCCTCTCCACCCTTCTCGAGTCATGACAAGCGCAGGGAAATCACAACGTCAAGGACTAGGTTCAAACCCACTTCATCCACACACCCCCTCCTTGACGGGTATGGGATGGGATCTTTCACGTCCCTCAAACCCCCCTTCCCATTGTTCCCTCCCCCCTCCTCTCCCCCACTTTATCTTGGAGAGCAGGAGATGGCGCCCAGCTCGTGGCCTCATTTCCTCAGCTCGCAGCCTCAATATCGTGGTGCCCTCCTTCACATTCTCGCATTGTTACCATATTTCGAGATCATGTACTTGTAGCTGAAAATAGGGCAACTCCGTGCCGCAGGGCAAAAGCGCCATCTGATGTAACCGAAACTGCGCGGGCGTTAAGAGACCGGGGGGGAGGGGAGAGAGGAGGGTGTGGGTTCGAGGTAGCGGTATGGGACTAAGGTTTAGGGAAACGCTCGAAAATGTGACAAGACAGGAAGGGGTGGGGAAAGGAGAGAAACGAAATGCACAACAATGTTGGCATCGGACTTTCAAGGAACATGGATTCAATGATGGCTTGGCCTTGGCTATCTCGCTCTGGTTTCCCCGGCTTCTTGGGCCTACCTACATTGATAGAACCCGTCCACAACGTGGCTATCCTAGCCTAGCGCGGCCGGGGAGGCTGAAGTGGTTTTTGGCAAATAGGTCTAGCGTAGGTACCTTTTTCCATTGCCAATTCCCAATTTAGGACCAAGTCGTTGAGGAATCGAAGAAACTAGAACTAATAGTCGCTTGGCTGTGTATCTAAACTTTCTCTCCTCTGAGTTTAGCTCTACACTCCATGCGCGATATGACGGACGTGGGACGCTACTTCATGCTTGGTCACGTTACTCCGCTGTCGGTCAATGATTACGATGTACCTCAGTACACAATCCATTGTACCTCATTGCTTCGTTAGGCAAACTTTCAAGTCAAGGCTTGACGAGAGTCTAGTCGGTTGTTGTTCTCTCTGCTCTCTGCTCTCTGCTCTCCGCACACCCCCGGGATCTCGTATCAATGCCTGCTTACCGCCCTCTTTTACACAAGGAATGCATTGCGGGCGATCCGAGAGAGACACATGAAACCGGGGGAGAGAGAGGAGGGGGGAAAGACCACGGTCCCAAGATGCCGCCCTGTACATTGGGCTTACTATTCCCTCATAATCTCTGGAATTGAGGGTCTTCCTCGCTTCCTTCGTCTGAGCATCCAAAAAAGTGAGATTCTTGAATCTCGTCTTAGTCTCTCAGCCAAGACTTTGTTGTTCGAAAAAGCAACCCACCGGCCACAGGCTGTGTGGCTCATGCCTTCAAACCTGACCGGGGTGCATCAGGTTCAAGAAAAAAGATGACCCACAGAGCCACAGAGCCACAGACAGGCAGCAAGGGGTTTAATTTTCACGCAGAGAAACGAGATGAATTCCTGAGGCGCTAGCCTATGAAGTCTTGCCATTTCTTTCGAGAACCTCCAAGCTATGTGAGGCGCAGGCAGCGTTGGCGACATGGGTGGCCCACCAATTACCGTCTGAGCGCATCAGCCGCTCGCTCCACCTCAAAGTTCGGACGCAAAGAAAAAAGAGACAAAGATCGAGAAGATGGGCAAAGCTTGCTTTTACACGGCCCCTTCCGACGTTCAAGGCTTTTCTCACTGCCCTCTTTTTTTTTTTTTTTTTCTTCTTCGCGCATAATTTCGACTCGGCAGCCTGTTTTGGGTGCTCGGTCAGGAGACGAGAGAAAGGCAGTGGAGTCCTCAGAATTGTGCCCTGTTGCGCGCAGTGTTCAACGCCAGGCACCGGGGATTCTTTTAGCTTGCACAATTATGCGATTGCCTTGAGGATACGGTTGACGGTCCCGAAGGTCGTCAGGTGCGGCTCCACGACTGTACGAAGTAGTGTTGCAGCCAGCCCACCCACCCCAATCTAAGTAGTGTTAGGGTGATATTTCTACTTTTTTCCCCCCTTCCTTCTCTGTTTTAGTGACCCTCGTTCCTGTCTTTTGTCTTATGTCGTCCCATCATTGAATGTAACCGCGTCAATCGAGCCTTTGTTCGGCAGATGGACGGCCATTGCTCCAAATTCAAGCGCCTCCGTTTCCTTCCCCGGAGCCAAAGCTGCGTTGCTGCGCCATACTCCAGGCAGCCAACCACACATCGAAGATCTAGATTTACCAAAAACTGTCCTGCCCCCCCTTCGGGACGGTAATAACCTCAAAACTACCCATCTTTGCGAAGGGAGGAGCATGGATCACCCCCTCCCCAGCCGCGGCTCCCTTGTTTACTTGACAACCGCTCGGATCATTTTAGATGGAGATCCTCCCATTTACTCTTGGTACCGAGCCGGTGTGGGTCCTGCGGTGTGCGTGTGTGCGTGAGAGACTGAGGGTTGTTTCTGTAAGTGGAAGTGTATGATATGGATAGGATGTACCCTTCTCTTCGGTTCCACCACCAAAATCGACCTTTCGAGATGGTTCTCGCAGGAGATGTCGGACCACCCAGCCAGCGAGCCGAAGTATGTCTCTGAATGTCGCCGATCTGGAGAAAATAAGCTCCGCGTACCGAGTCACCCTCCCCGGGGATGCCTTTGATGCATCACAAGTGTCCACCCTGATGTTCATGATTGGCCTTTCTTGAAATCGGCAGAGAGATCGTCACCATTCTCATCCCCTCCTGGCCCTCCCACATCCTTAGCGACATCCTCCACGGCTTGCTCGATGCACCCCTTCACACATGATCGTCCCTGACTCCCACAAGCACACCATCTTCTGTTCCCGATGACCGGAGAGACCGCTCTGTTGTGCATGCCATACTAGGCGTCAATTTTTAGCTTCACACTTCAAGACTTCATGACGCCCGTCACTCCGCACTCCTTCGTATCGAATGAGCTCTTCCGACCTTGAATATCTCTGGATATGAATAGGCACCATGGCCCTAGGCCCCTGCATTCCCCAAATCCCGAACATGTCACGGCTACATATGCACCCCTGTACAGTTGGCGTCGAGGATGGCAGACACACTCCAATATTCTCCTATGCTCCTTTTTTTAGAAAGCGATGAATCATACCTTCATACCTCCCCCTAAAAAAAAAACAAAGCACCTGCTGTCAAAAACCCCACCCCCACCTATCCATGGGGCAACATAGGACTACGTCCGCCCTACAAGGCCAAGCCCGAGGCCCGAGAACAGGGCTGCCGAGGCCCACACCGCCGCGTACACCCTCGCGCCCTCTGGTTCGACGCCATCGACAACTTTGGCGCACTGGAGGTAAGTATCGACGTAGGTAACTACGACGGCGACGGCGACCCTCAAGATGCCAACTTTCGCCTTGGCCGTGTACCCCCAAAGGTTGTAGGCAGCCGTCTCGGACAACGTAGCAGCAGCAGGATCGAAGTCTCCCAGCCTGGCGTCCTCCGTCTTCTTCGGCGTGGCCGCGAACGGCGTGAAGATGAACACTCTGGCGGCGATGCCGGCCACCAGGGCTGCGGGCGCGACGGTCAGCCACGTCGCGTCGTAGGCGGGGATCAGCGTCTTGATGCTATCGAAGTGGACGGCCAGCACGCGCGGGAGGAACGTCTTGAGAGAACTAAGTAGGGTCGCGCCGTAGACCACGGCCGAGAGAGAGGCCGTGTAGACCTGGATAGCCGGGTCCGCAACGATCTCCTGATTTGGCGCGTCTTCTGCGGCCGTATGCGCGCTGGACACGGGGCGGAGGAGCTGGAACGGAATCGCTGTCGAGAGCGCGTCAATGGTGAGAGCCGATAGGGCTGATGCGGCGCTGACGTTGTAGAACGTAACCAATAAGTAGAGCTGAAAGAAGTTTGGAGATGGTCACCCCCAAGTCGGGGGTGGTTGTTCAGTTCGCGTTAGTTCCCATTACAAATTCAAATTCAAATGAGTGATTCCACCTCTGGCTCTTTTACCACCCCATGTTCCTCCCGGTTGAGGAGGATGGGGGAGGGAGGGTTGTGGTGAGGGGTTCAATAAGCGGCGAATACTCACAGCAGGGCCGTGGCTGAGGATGTTCAGCGCGGCAAGATCAAAGCTATCAAGCTTTCCGAACCACCCAATTCCCAATACTAATCTATTTTTGGGAGGAAGCAATATTCCATGTCAGCCAGTCAAGTTGGAGATAAAAACATATTTCAATCCCACAGCCCTTGGCAACACGGCGCTTTCTTGCCGAAGATCGATGTTGTGCTCGCACAGCATTTAACAAAAATAACAAACTCTCTCCAAAAGGGGGGGTGTGTTTGCACAAGGGCCAGAGATAAATAAAGAAGGGAGAAAAAAAAAAGCAGGGATAGCTCTCAAAAAAGAGCCAAATTTGATCTTACATCCTCCATCCCGTCAACACGACAACATCTCGCCAGTCATCCGTCGACCTCGCCACAGCCGCCAAATCACCACCAGTCACGGCGCCCAAGAAGGCGTAGCCCAGCGATGACAGCACCAAGCTCAGCACCGCGACGATGGGGAACTGGAGCGGCGTGGGGAGCTTCGTCGCATGTGCCGCCGTATCCGCGTGCGTCGAATCGTCGCCGCCTTCGTTGTCATCGGTGCGCTGGCGGATGTTTTCCGGCTTTTCTGCTCTGGCGACGGCACCTTTGGCCGTGCGTGGTCGGAGCTCCACCATGGCGCGCTTTCTTATCAGGTGGAGAATGGGTGAATGCGCTAAGTTGGGGTGAGGATGAAAATCAAGAACTTGAGAGGGTGTATTCAAGTGGCGCGTTTACCGATGGCAGGGCTTACGGCGGGCTATTGATGAGGCATCCGGTTAGAAAAGTTGTTGCGTCTCCAGGTGGGATGATGGCATTCGCAGATCAAGTTGATGGTGATGGCGGCGGGGGAAGGACCATTTCGGTCAAATGAGGTGGGTGAGCTCGTGCTTACCTGGACTGGTGGACTGGAATGCCCCGGTATTTGCATACCAGAGCTTCCCAAGAAAGGAAGGGACCGCCAGCCCGCAGCTCTTCTCGGTAAATACTTTGTACCTTCGTACTGTAAACAACCGCCTGGCAACAAATTGATTGACTCGAACTGACATCATTCAATTCTTTGCTGGGAACGAGCATCAACATAGACTGGATTCTGTTCCCGTCTCCCCCGAATTGCTTATTAGTATTGCAAAGCTGATTCCACCCAGCCTAGTTCACCACTAGACTTATGCGACCTAGACCTAGTAGCTCCCTCGAGTGAAGACTCGTCCCTTCCAATGAACTAACCGCGTCATATCACGAGTGAAGCTACTCGAGATTTCTACTTACTTCGTAGAGATCATGTAAAACCCGCTCTCTGCTCCCTCATCCGCACCAAGTGTTAACACAGCTCCATCCCGCGTTCTCATGCCCATCTATAAGGCAAGAAGGCAACATTGATCGAGATGGAAGAGCCTCTAGCACAGCGCCAGGATCTCAGATAAAGGGCTCCCAAGCCAGTCCTGACCCAACTCTCCATCAAACGAATATGTCCCTCCTCCAGCTATGAAGGAGTCTCCGGAAGACATCATCACAGATCATGCACAACTTCCTACCAAGATCAACCAGCTCTAATCAATCTCTTCAACGACCACACCGCCAGAGCTCTTCTTCGGGCAGGTCCCCACCCGTCGCGGCCCACACTGATGCAACCAAAAAAAAGGACCCAAATTCGAATTGATCAAAGTGGATTGGAAATCTTTGCTAGTTTGACCCCAAAACGGGTACAAGTACTGGGACTGTCCTGCAGAGCTCTCGCATTGAAATTTTCATCTTTCCCAGGAAAAAGACAAAGAGAAGAAAAAAATCTTCTCCGAGGCCCAATCCTCCTTGCTTCGTGTTTTCTTTCTTTCAGGCCGAGACTCCTCAGAAATGTAGCCGTTTGGTGGAGTGTGCTATTCCTGGATGCCCTCTACTTCTTCATCTTCATTGATCATGAAGAGAACGTCTCGAAGCTTCAACGCACTCATCACGTCTGACACTTCCACGGCTGCTGTGAGAACCAACGGGGATCAAAAGACAAGCCGAGCTCGACGGGAGGCAAAGCAAAAGAGCCTCGTCATTACACATTACACATCACTCAGAGCAAACCAAGGCAACACTCGCGCAAACGAACTCTCGTTCTTCCATCATATCCAATTCATTTATTATATTTATTTTGAGTGTCCGCTCGACGCCTCTCCGACCCTCGCTTTAACCTCATGGATCCGACAATCTCGTTTCGTCCTTGTTCCCCGGAAGAGGAGATCTGATAATTTCCATGATTTGATTTCTTTCCTCCGGGTGCAGGTAAACGGGCCCTCCACTCTTCGGTGCAAAGGGTTCGGCCAGCGGAGCAGGACCACCTCGCTTTTTTTTTTTACACACGGGTAGGTTTGTTGTTGTTGGTTGTTGCTGTTGTTGTTGGTTGTTGCTGTTGTTGTTGTTGTTCATATAGAGTATGTGATACAAAAAGGAAACCACGCACCATCCGGACCGAGACTCCAAAAAAAAGGTTTCACATGCCGGGAAATACTGAGTCACCGGCGGAACGCCCTTTCTTTCCAACTAATAAGATCCAGATATAAAAAGTTCCCTTCAGATAACCATCCTGCCAAAGACGCCGTCGTCGTCCTCGTCGCTCCTGGACCGCAATTGCATGTCCTCGTCGTCATCCGCCATATCGCTGTCCGCGCTATCCTCCATCTTGACATCAACGCTGCGCAGCTCGCCACGAGTGAAGCTCTCGGGCTGCCTGCTGGGGAAGCTGTTGAGGAATCCAGCGCTCGACAACGATGCGGCCTGATCTAGGTATTGCGCAGGGAGTGGTGGCACGGGAGGTGCGTCCAGAGGCAGAGTGACCGTCCGGCCGGTGTTACTTCCGAAGCTGCAGCTGAGAAGCTCGACGGCTGCAGCCAACTCACGATCCTCCTGCCCGGTCGCGTTTCGTCCTGATGAAGGAGGGCGGCGGTCTTGGCTCTGTTGGCGTACATGTCCGAAGCCTCCGAATGGTCCATTGGGCGCGCTGCCGGCGATTCCAGATATCGGCGTTGATTGGTAGGATCGCGAGAATCCGCCGTTGCTGTACCTCTTCGAGAGGTGACGGTATCCAGGAATGTTTCGACCGAAAATCTCTTGTTGAGGCGGCGGGGTAGTGTCGGCGGAGCTTTGCCGGTCGTTTAGCTCCGAGTACCCAGACGCGGCGGGCGAAGCCGATTCGTTATCGCTAGGGAAGCCTCTCGCCGAATCGGGGGGTGTCGAGACGTTTACGATGGTGGGGGCGGATTCTTCCTTGGGAGCGTTGTTCATTGCGACGAGAACGCTCGCCGCCTCAAGGAGCTGCACTTGCTGGTGCTTCGAGATGAGTAGCTTGGAAGTATACGACCATTCTGGAGTATGCTCCCACCTGGTGTGCAGAAACAACAAAGGTCAGCAACATTTTTGCCAAAACGCTCAACATGGTGATAATAGGACGCAACCGAGACATGGCCTTATCCCTTCCCTTTCAGCTCGAGCTTGTCGCGACGGGCGGGGGGGCGAGGACGGGGGCTGAGAAGGGAGCTTGGGACAGGGCATATCTGCGAACATATATATGGAAAGTGGTGACGAACAAGTGTTTGGTCAAGCAACTGCTATGTTTGTAACCCTTTCCACATTTCTCGCAACGGAGCTCTACGCGGTTGCTCCTTCTGCCCTCCTTGCCAAGCGGCTGGCCTTCGCTCGCACGTCTAGTTCGAGATTTCTGAGCCGAAGACGCGCCTGGAGAGGTCGCCTGCTCCGCCGACGTGTCAGCTGGATCGTCGTCGATGGCGTGCTCGGGAATGTCCCCGTTTCGGTCTGCCATCAATCTGCTCGTAAGCAAACTGGTCTGCGAGGTTCTCCCGATCGGGCCCTTGGACACAGTATGACGTCGGGTAAAGCCGCTGCTCGGGAGCGAGGAAGACATGTCCCCGACGTCCTTGATGGCGGCCGTGATAGCCGCTACGTTCGTAGTGCCATTATTCATAGACTTTCGACGTGTAACGCGGTTGTTCGAGTGTAGAGGACCGGGTCCGAGGAGGAGAGATTGCGAGCCCGTTCGAGCGTGCGATTGCCTGGTTGGCAGGCCCGATCCGGTCGGTGTCGACGAGAGGGAGGGTCGATGAGTCAATGGCCGCGAGCTTTGCTGCATTTCCTGAATTGCAGCGTAATAGTTGATTAGCACGTCGATAGAAAACCACGCGTCAAAAAGTGTGTTCTCGAGGCTGCAAGGGAGACCGAGAAGAACGCTTGAGGAGGGTTAATTGTTCCCGTCCTCTCTTTCCAGAGAAGCCGAGGTGGGACACGTACTTTGGACGAGGCCATTGCCATTGACTGCACCGCAGTTCTTACCGCAATTAAGTCCGATACACTTTGCCGATGTCGCTCCCGCCGGAGCGCCCGTAGGGGTTTCTCAAGTCAAGGTTCCGAGCTAGTCAGTTGTTTCAAGAAGGTTGGCCAGTTGACCCTATTCCCATCGCTGCTGGAAATTTTTTTATGGTGGTGTGAGTTACGGTGGAATGGGAAGTGGAAAAGGAGGGAGCGAAATAATATTTTGGGAACAAAGCAATTCCTCCCAAGCCAAGGCGGGGTGTGTGTGTGTGGGCGGAGAAGGGGGGGCGCGCAAGTATTAACGAGGAACCATACCATTAATCCTGGAGGGAGTCGTATTTGGTACATTTTGACCGAATGCTTCAATTTTGCTACTTTTGTATTGACGCAGTGTACAGCGGGTACGAAGCGGGTGGGTATCTTCGTTGGCATCAGAGACCAAAGTTTCGCCACAGCCAGAGCTGCAGGGTACTCTTCATGGAGTATTTAGTACATCGTATGTGGAGAGGGAGTCCGGATATAATGTACCACTTTCAGGTAAGAACAGGCAGGTGGACGGATTGGTGTTGTCTCAATAATACTGAAGTACAAATACAGAGGTACCGGTCTTCTGTATGCGAAGACTTGGGGAGTATACATTTCATGTCATGGAGTGGTGTGTGCCTCGCTGTGGCCTGTGGATGGTCAGGACCATCAAATTAAAAAGGAAAGCAGGCAGGATATGTCAATTGATAGCAAAAGAAAGGCCGCCCAATGCTCCACGATGGCTTCTCTCTTTGTTGTCTCTTTTTTGCGCTTTCCCGGTTGTCTTTTTGTGAGCAATTGGTGCCCAGTCTAGTTGGCATCAGGACACTCATATATGTATGTAGAATGGGTACCCGCAACGCACGCTACAACCTGGTGCTTCCTTGCCCTTTATCTCACTCCTCATGGACGGTGGTAGGAGGAGGATAGGCTCTAGTTGGTCTACATTTGATCAATTGCAGCCAAGCTACCGCCATTCCTCGACGACGCGCTTCGTTTAAGAGCCTGGCAGTGGAATCAAATCCATCATTGGCAGAACTACTAGCCAGCCCATTGGATTCAAGGCCGCATATGCATCAGAACAACCAGAACTTCGACCCCGTTTCGCCGACCCGTCGTGTCTCACAGCATAACCGTTTTAATCCTTCGATTGCATGCACAGAGAAGGCAAGTTTTATGTTTTCTTACAGGGGCAAGTAGCATGGAGGGACCCTAACTAAGAAGGCGCAGGATGAAGGAGAACGTCGATGGATCTCTGTCAAATCATCAAGATATTGCCAGAAGGGACAGAGTATACCAATACCAATACTTGCTTGGCCATGAAATTGGCCATAAACATTGACCACAACTTCCGGGCTGTGCCTCAAGCCGTTTTCGGGGGAGGTGTGCCCGTAGCAAGCAGCCGCCAAAGAGAAAGAGGCACAAAAACAAAAGAGAAAAGAAAGTGAGAGAAGGGCAATTAGTACAGTCAGCTCATGGTTGAGGAAAGTTCCCTGGTAATTGAATTAGTATCGGCGCTTAGTCTTCTCACTCTGCGATGGCGACATAAAAGTCCATATCGGTGAAAGGGGAACAGCCAGGCGGTTATCTTTAATAGGGACTAGGACTGTACTTCGTACGCGTGGACAAACAGGTAGTCAATTGAGTGGTCAGGGTCTGCCTTACCAGAATTTTATTTTCTCTTGCTCCCCTTTTTCCTCATGGGCAACTTTTTTTTTTTTTTCTCCTTTTTTGCTGCAAGGTACAGCCAACACATCGTCCATTTCAATTTACAATTTGCCACTCGTTGGGTTTCCATCCTTCCGGCCCCCTGTTTCCCAACAGCCAAGTCCTCGGCTTCATGGTGAGCTCACATTTTTTTTTCTATCGGCTTACGAAGTATTCGGCAAGATGGCGCATTTGAAGAGGCAACACTTCCGATGTTGTATGGATGCTACCGTCCGTCGTGTTGTGTGGTCTGCGGTCATCGGCTTATTCGATGGCATCGAAAGTCTAAATGTTGAACGTTGATTGATATCAATTGATCCACTTTTATCCTCGTCCTCTCCATGTTGGTAGGGATCAAATGTAACTGGATACGTGTGCGAGCCTGAGCTGTGACCTCTTCTCTAATGCGAGCTAAAGGGAGGGGAGGCTTCGTCTAGCACCACTGATCGGGGTTAACACCCCGCCAGGTGACTGCGTCCGGACGGTTCAAGGTGATCGAGGAACAATAGTACCGCTTTAAAGTGGGTTTAGACTCTTAACAAAAGAGTCATCCAAACATTTAAAGCGGAGAATGCCAGATCACCAATGAAGACAATGTAGCTATACGCATTGAGGCCGATGACAGAATAAGTATCTAGAATATTCCACTATCTCAGCCATTCTGAGTGAGGAAGGAGAGCAAATACCAAACAGTTACGAAGTAGAGAGAAGAGATTGAAACCGCATCCCTCGAACAAAAGAGGGAAAAAAAATATATTTGATCCGTTCAAGGGGTGCCCAATCATCACAGGGAACCCCAGGCAAATGGAATTCCAGATCCTGTCAGCAGGTCCGTCTCGGTTGTTGGGCTGGTGTGCTCTTATTTCTCGTGCATCAAAACGGACTGATAAAACACCAGACAAATCCGGGGTGGCATTTTAGTGTGCGATTGGATCAGCTGAGCCCGCCATATCCAACCTCTCCACGTGTACCACCTACCATTGATCCATTGATCACGACGAAGTTATGCTCGTTCAAGCCCCGTTGCAAGCAGGATTATTTGAAGTACACATTGCGATACCTTATTCCTTCGTATACATTGCATCGCGACAAATGCCAGCCCCCCAAACTACGAAGTACATGTCGGCAACGGTGCAAAGTCAATGGACCCTGAAGATTGATCAAAGTTGTCCTCGGCATGGTCAAATTTTCAGTGTCCTTTCCAACCCGGCACGACGACACCCAGTCTGCAAAGTTTACTTCGTACAGGGTGCGGGAGTGATTGTCCAGTCGCCGTGCCCTACCACGATAATCAATCAGCCATGAAAAAGCCCTGTGGCCAAGGTGTGTGGACTATTTCCCGACATGGACTCGGTATTGAAGCCACAGCCAATGGCAGTTCTTTCCTCGCCACCACACCTCATCTTTTCCCCCTTCCCAGAGCAATGCAAAGCCCCAAAATCTGATGGGCGGGCTTGCGTGATCACAGGACCACTTTTGCCCACCGACGTGACAAAGTGAGCTTAAACTGTACGGATTATCGTGTTGTCTAAGGCCACTTGATGGACTTTTTTTAACACCCTTCGATTAAATACGTTGGGGACGGTTCATCAACAAATTTTGGGGGTGGACTTAGACTTCCAGCACCACCTGAAGGGACCATGTCCACAAAGCCCGCCGAGACAAGACGGCCTTCCTTTCCTCTTCGGCGCTTACGGGAAGTACAAGTATATTTCTGTCGCAGTTATTTTGGGATACTGTCGTAGGGAAAGATCGCCGGTATCAAGCTTGGCGGGCCTGTATCACTCGACGATGTTGCAAACATGGAAAGGGTGTTCAATGTCGACGGCGCATCTGCTTATTCATTCATTCCATTGTATCGTATTGGGGATAATTATATACGGAGTACCGACAAACAGTTTTTCACCCTTCGGGGATGTGCTGTGCTGTCTGATCTTCTTCGAAGAATAAATCCCTTTGGACCGGGCGCAAGAAATCGCTGGACGGGAAATGGTACTGTAGCATGAACCGATCGACCCGCCCGACATCCACGCACGGCAGGCCCGAGCTTGGAACGAAACTTCATGAGGCTCCTTTGCCGTGGGAACAAAAAAAAGAAGGAAGAAAATTTTTTTTTTCAATCGATGATGCGAGGTTTCGGTTCTCGGGAATTGTCTCGGTCTCTCCTATCACCGGGCGTTGCTTCACGGGCTCCTGATATCCCCCGGTGCCATTGGATGACTGGATTGAAAGAGATGGAGGGTGCTTCCACACACTCACACTCATCCCAAAAAGTTTCAACATTGGAGAATGCACCAACATTGAACTTGGAAGTCGGTCACAGTATCAATTGCTGTCTGCGAGGTCTGGAAGTTATTTGGCTGCCTAATAATGACCAGCTGTTCCTGGATGAAGGTCGCAGCGTCACGCGCAACTTCTCAAAAAGGGATCTGATTCTCATGCATCGCAGGCCATCCGAAAGAGAAACTGGACGCTTGAAGTCGGTGTTTCTCCTTGTTCAGGTGACCATCAGTCATAACTGAACACATTTTCTGATCAAAGTGGGTGTGATGCTACTATTTCCAGCTGGCATCGAGAGGTCCAGCAGCGCAGAACATGGAAGCATCACGGAAATCATAATAAGTGAAGACATGCTGACAGGGACACATTTTACCCTGCGACTGATTGACTACATGTACTTCGTAGACACGCGGCATCCCTGAGAGAATGGTGAAAAGTTCCAGACAAGAAAGTTTGTTCCGAACCGCATTTCAACAAGTCAATTAGCCAGGGGGATCTGCACCACATTTCCTAACTTGCAAACAAGCGTTGCGGCAAGGCCTCGCTCGAATGCGGGGAAGAACTGGGGTCAATCTGTGATGGCTTCAGGGAGGACCACGGAACCGAAAGTAGAACCGTAGGGCATGGGCCTACAGTGTACTTCATGTCTAGGCTATTTCCCTGCTCCAGGTTTAGGGCTCATCTCTCCAGAACCCACGGAGTATGAGAGGCGTCAAGAGAATTGATTCCTGAGGAACAGACGAGATAGGCCCATGGACTTTCAACATAGACGATATTTATTGTTAGGCGATCACAGCTCCTCGAGCTAAATTTGTACGGAAAGCTGTTAGTGCTCACGGATTTTATATGGAGTAGTAATAAACTACAAGCACCAAGCACTCTCTTCTATCCTCCAGCTTCAGGTTTGAGGAGCGACGGGAGTGTGTATGTGTTCTGATTTCAGACCTTGAGCTGGAAAACGGGGGCCAGTCCGGGCTACCTACTGACCGCTCCTGTCTGACCTCTAAGCCTTGAGGTGTTTTGACTGACCACTACACACTTTTTGGAGTTGAAGGGAGAAAAAAAAAAGATCACAAAAAAGACAAGAAAAAGAACGGCCTCGGCCGGGATTCGAACCCGGGACCTGTTATAACCACAGTATTGTGATGGGAATGGGTTTCCCCGCCCGAAACAACAATCATACCTCTAGACCACCGAGGCACCTTGCGGCAGAAACGGGCACGCTAATTGCTTGTACTACTTTGGGGAGGAAACACAAAGTTCAACGTTCCCCATTGCTCTGTCCATTGACATTAACAATTTGACACTTTCACGGCGCAAATCTTCAGCATATTTGGAATTAGTTGGCATCAAAAATCCCTGCTTCTGAGGGGGTTGCGGGGTGAGCACCACTCCGCCGTGGGGCCCGGTGTGGACAGGAGGCTCAATTCGATCCCCGATACGGTTGTGTGCATATGAGGAGGATCAACTTGAGATGATAGTACACTCTTGTATAAGTAGGAGTAAAGGGGAGACTCCACCTCAAACTCTATCAAATTCGTCCTCTTCGGGTCTACAATTTTGATTTGTGTGCGGTGGAGTGCCAACACATGCATCAACTCGTGTGTGCAGATGCGCTGTTCAAGATTTAACTTGAACTTTCTAACTGGTTGCGCCTTCCCGCCCATGTGCGAAGAAGCATCGCCGAGCTGTTCGGGAGGATTGGAAACGCATTCGCGCTCTCATTTTACTAACCCCTCGAGTGCTCGATGTATAGAGGTAATACGCCATACAAGATACAATAAAGCAAGGGAAGAAGACCCAGGTCCTAGAGGCACTAGCCGAGAATAAGCTGTTCGGTGTTTAGTTTACTTCACCTTATTAGTCGTAGTGTAAAAATGTACACTTATCTCAAGGGGCGATCTTTATCGCATCGATAGTCTCCAATATTAGCAATTATCATTGATACCAGTTACTACAGTACATTGTATCAAGAGCATAGCAGGCAAATACGTAAAACTGGCCACCGTATTACACCATCTACCAGAGATACACAACCCCAGTCCATGTTGATCGTGGCGGCACATTATAGAACTATCTCGATTTATTCCGCGCAAGTCGTGCACTCTCACCGAAACTTCGTCCGAGTTATCGCATTTACCCAAGGTTCGACGCCCTTCTTTCACACCAAGAAATCTCTCATTTTAAAGGAACTGCCCCCTTGCGTGAAAGAACGAGAGGGAGAAACGGACAGAAAAGGAGATCAACGCTTCCAACAGTACTACCCCTCTCGGCACGAGTTACTCCAAATGTCGGACGTTTTCCGCCGAGTCGGCCGTGGCGGCGCCGGCAACTACATCTCCCCCAACGCTGCTAATATCACCCAGGACCCCGCCCAGGTGCGTAACCCCACACACAAACTTCATCCTGACCCGGACTGACAAAGTGGAAACTTTGTTCTTGAGGGGGTCTCTTTCATTTTACTTGCTTTACTGATATGTGATGAAAAAAATAGGATCTTGAAGCGCAGAAGCTACCCCCTGTGCCGGTGGCATCCCCTACTCTCCAACCCCAGCCATATGCACGTGTAGGGCGTGGAGGGGCGGGCAATTTCCATGATGCGGCCGATGCCCCCGAAGAAACCCAGGAGCAGGTCGCCGCGAGAACTGATACGGCAATGGCGCCAGCCGCATCAGGCTCTAGGGTCGGACATACGGGTAGAGGCGGTATGGGAAACTGGTCTGATGCACAATCCCAGCAGGAGGTAGAGGCGGAGAAGAAGAGGCAAGCTGTGCTAGAGGACAAGGTTGCTCGGGACGTCGAGGCTGGGTTGAAGGCCCCAGCTAGGACTTACAACCCCAATACCCCAAAGACGGCGTGAGGGGAAAGGAAACCAAGTAGCCACTTTTGTATTGTTGAAGTTGAGCCATGTCCGTTATCATTATTGAATGAAATCAAGATACCCAGCTCCATCTAGGTCGTGCGGAGTTCGCAATAAATTCAACAATGAATTTGGCCATCGAAAAACAAAAAGTTCAATGTTGTCATTACCAAAACTCCGTAACTTGATAAAAACATCCAGCCATGTGAAACCCATTCAATGAACGTTTTAGGACCCCGCATCACCCACCAACCTACGCTTCTATCCCTTCCATCGCATCGTCCTCGTCTCCCATATCCTCCCACGGATTGTCGTCCTCCTCCTCGACTTCCTGCTCGCCATCCACCGTCCACCTGACCTTCTGCTTCTGCTTCAGCACGTTCTTGTTCACATCTACCATATCCTCCGACATCATCTCGCCCTCGGCCTCCATCTCCAGACGTCTCCTCTCGCTGCCACGCATCTTGGGCAAGAGGTGGCCGTGCGTCTTGACGAGCTCGCGCGCAGCCTCGATCTCGCGCTGCTTGTTGCCCGCCATGCGCCTCTTGTAGAACACCCTCTCGCGGCGGGCGCGGATCTCGGATATCCTCTTCATGGCAGATAGGGTCTTGGTCATGAGGTCGCGGTTGTAGCGTACGGGGACGTTCCTGCGGGCGGCGAACTGGAGGGTACTGTCGACGAGCATTTCTTTGCCGGCGGCCTTGCGGAAGGCCTTGGTCCACTTGAGCTTGCGTGGGTTGCGCTTCATCTTGAACTGGAGGAAGGAGTTAGAACCAGAAAATTCTTGAATTATTCCATCGGCGCCAAAGACATCGAACAAGAAGCCTAGAATGACAGGAGGCGGCTTACGTTCTTGTGGCATTTACTCCTGCAGAATCGAAACACCTTCGCATCGTTCCGCACAAAGGTAATACCTTTGCTTGGGTATGCGGGGCGACTGCAAAAGTAACAAGTTTCGATCCTGTTCAAGGCAAACAGATTAGTCTACCATACCCACCGTAGAAAATATGTTAAGGAATAATATATATTATACATACCTCATTGTGTCGAGTTGTGACCGAGACTATGGCCGGGTAGTTTCTCGAGAATTGGCTGAACCCTTGGGCGGTGATAAAAACCAAAGGCGGTCTCCAAAGAAATTTTTAGACATCAAAAAAAAAGCTGCATATCGATAGTGGTGGGGTCAAGTGAGGCAAGCCTCAACCCCAGCCACGAAATCGACACGTGACTTCGTGCGAGAGCTTGCCTCAGCTGAACGAAGCCGTCTCGTTCCAACGCGCCTGTTAGACCGAACGCCTGCCTAAAATGGGGATATTGATCACTTAAAAGTGTTTGGTTTCCTTTTCCATCTTCTTTCATCCTCTTCTACCAATTGAAGGCTAGAAATGCCAATTCTAGCATCGAACACCTACTTACTCGTTTCCTACTCTCATATCTTGCAATTTCCTCACCATGGCTGATAAAGAGGCCATTGTCTTTATTGTCGACCTTGGGTCGACCATGGCTGACTGTAATAGTGGCCGGACCGAATCGGATCTCGACTGGAGTATGCGGTTCGTTTGGGACAAGATTTCACACATAGTCTCCCTGAGCCGAAAGGGCCTGTGTGTTGGCGTTGTCGGCTTGCGGACAGAGGAAACCAACAATTCAATGAGAGATGATGAGGGTTACGAGCACATCGCGGTCCTGCAAGGGCTCGGTCCGATGAGTATGGGCCATTTGAGAGATCTTCAGAAGAAGATCAAGAACAGCAATGAGGCCATGGGCGATGCTCTCTCCGCCGTGGCGATAGCGACATTCATGATTACCGAGTTCACTAAGAAGTTGAAGTACAACCGCCAGATTTACCTCATTACAGATGGCCTTGGTCCGATTGACATGGACGATAATGATCTGCGAGACATCTCTGCGGAAATTAATGACAATGGTATTAGTTTGACTGTTCTGTAAGTTATTTTTGAAGCAACCTCCTGTCATAAGATTACAGACTTATACGCAGTTAGTGGAGTCGACTTCGATGATGCGGACTATGGTGTTAAGCAAGAGGATAAACCCAAGGCCAAGGTATGCTATGCCGCTTAGATTGGTATGCTCTTTTCCCGTTCTCTGACCGTCTTAGGCGCGAAATGAGAAGCTCCTTCGCCGTTTCGTTGAAATGTGTGACAAAGGCAATTTTGGCACCATGGCGGAGGCCATTGATGAACTCGACATTCCAGTTGTCAAGGTGCCCCGGCCTTATAAGTCGTACGAAGGCACACTATCTCTGGGAGATCCCGAGAGCGGACAGGCCGCGGCAGTAATCAGCGTAGAAAGGTATTTCAAGACGCATGTCGCCACGGCGATGCCTGCCAGCACAGTAGTGTTTAAGACGGAGGCCGCCGAACCCGAGTCGATGGAGGGTATGGAGTTTGGCGCCGTCAAGCAGGCCCGTACTTACAAAGTTAACGACCCGAGTGCCCCTGGAGGTAAGAAAGACGTTGAATTTGAATCTCTTGCGAAGGGTTACGAATATGGGAGGACTGCCGTCCATATCAGCGAGTCGGAGCACAACATCACCAAGTTGGAAACAGAAAAGGACTTTAGCATCGTTGGTTTCCTTGAACAGGATAAGGTACCGCCCTCTCTTCATCCCTATTCACGAAAGTCCCTTAACATCTCTTTTTTCTCTTCTATCTAGTACGCGCCCATGTTGAATCTGGGTGACTGCAACGTGACCTATGCTCGAAAGTTCGACACCGAGGCCCAAGTAGCCTTATCTTCACTTGTCCAGGCGATGCATAAGGCTCAAGCATACGCGGTGGCTCGTCTCGTTGCTAAGGACGGCAAGGAACCTCTATTGGTACTCTTGGCTCCGGATATTGAGAACAACTGTCTCTATGACGTACCTTTGCCTTTCGCCGAAGATGTGCGCGGTTACCAGTTCCCTCCTCTCGATCGTGTCGTAACCGTCAGCGGTGCAACGCTTACGGAGCACCGTTTCCTTCCTGGGAAGGAGCTCGAGCAAGCGATGAGCGACTATGTTGATGCTATGGACCTCTCTACGTATGCCGAGGATGAGGACAAGTGAGTGAAGAAAAAAAAGACCCTCCTTTCTGTTCCGGCCCCCGCTCTAATCATGAGTAAAGTAACCCCGTCGAATATATGGCTATTGACGAGCCTTTTAACCCGTTGATCCACCGGATCAAGCACGCTGTTAAGGAGCGAGCGATCTACCCAGATGGTCCCGTGCCACCGATCCCGAAGATCCTTACAAAGTTTTCCGTGCCGCCTGAGGACGTTGTTGAGTCTGCTCAGCCACAAATAAATGCCCTTATCGAGGCTGCCGAGGTTAAGAAGGGTAAGATTCTCGATTCCCATATGAGTACCACCCTGCTAACCATCATGCCTCTAGTTCCTCCCAAGGCCAAGGGCAGACGCCAGAGGGAAGTGGTCAAACCCCTCTCTGGCCTCGACATCGATGCTCTGCTCGGACCTGCGGAGGGAAAAGATTCAGGAGAGAGGAAACCCATCTCTGCGTCCAACGCCATCCCAGAGTTTCGTAGGGTCCTCGACTCGGCCGACCAAATGCGCCAAATCGAAGACGCCGCAAAGCAAATGGGTGGCATCATCCGCGACCTCATCTCCTCCGACTTTGGCGGTAGCAAAGATGACCGCGTACTTGAACATCTCGGTGCCATGCGGGAAGGACTGACCAACCTGGAGGAGCCAGATTTGTATAACACTTTCGTCAAGGATCTGAAGAAGCAGATGCTCTCCGGTGCGCTGGAGGGAGATAGAAGGGAAATGTGGTGGAAGATTCGAAAGGCCAAGTTGGGCCTGATAGATAACAAGATGTTGGACGTGTCGGAGGTTACCGAGGAGGAAGCGAAAGAGGTACGTTTACCGTCATTTATTGCTGCTCTGTGGGCGGGTCGAAGGACCATACTAACAACTCTCTTCACATGCAGTTCTACACGTCAAGATAGTGTTGGGAATCATGTCACGATAATAGGTGGCTTATTTGTTTTACTCGGCATTATGCACTGTCAGTAATGTAAAAATAGGGTATTGAACGAATCGGGCTTTTTCTTTTCATCTAAAACTTCTCTGATCCGTCAGACATGCTTTGCTTTCCGTTCCGCCGTAACTCCATCCATCTCATAAAAGGGAGAAAAAAAAATCCATCAAGCCTCTCGTGAAACAACCGAATCTTGGGCGCTAACAAATCAAACCGGAGTCTTATCATCATCCTCCTCGACCAACCAAGGGGCACCAGGAACAAAGCCCCCACCCGCCCTCTTAACTACAACCTTCTTGGCAACCTCAACACCGGGAGGGTCAGTGGGAGGGTTCTGCTGCATATCCTTGATGGCGCAAGCAATAACAGCGCGGAGGGTATACGCGGCATCATTTCCGGCATTGTGGAGGTTCGAATAGTCGATGCCCAGGTCGAGGAGGACGTGGGTGAGGCTACGACCGTTCGAGTCGCTGGTGAGATGCTGATGGAGGTCCTTGGAATCGGCACACAGGGCCACGTTTCCAGTCTCCTCGTAGAGGTTGTAGCCGATTTTCTTGAGATATTTCTCCTCCTGCTGGAAGTCGTGGCCGATGAGCACTACGGATCGCTTCGTGGCGGCGGAGCCTTCGGGGATGTTGGAGGTGGTGTACTTGGTGAGGATGGCTTTGATGGTGCTGAGGAGGTCTTCGTGGGAGACGAACTCGCTCGTGCTAGATATATAGGTTGGCTACTGAACAGTATTGGGCGAGATGTGGGAATGGGAAACCCAGGAATGGTCAAGTAGGTTGTATACGTACCCAAAGTTAAACTTATCGGGACAGCCGTGGACGTATTTGCAGTTGACATGCGAGGCGAATTCCTGAACTCGCAAGTGCTTATACTCAATGAAGGACAACCAATTCTCACCCAAATTACCAGGAGCGATACCCTTGGTCTTCTCAGTATCAAGGATGGCGATTCCAACCTCGGTAGGAGAACCGATACCCTCATGAGCCTCGACATCGAGCGAAATAAGAACAAGGCCAAGGTCCAACGGGAACTTGGCGGCCTTGTCAGCATCGAACTCGAAGTTTTGATGCAGAGCCGTAGAATCATTAGGCTTAAATCCAAGGAGGACCTGGAACTTGAACATCTCCTCCCTTCGATGCTCACGGGCCTTGAGCTGCTTCTCGTCAGAGCGGTTCTTCTTATCCCTCTTGAATTTGACGGAGAGGATCTCGTGCAGGAGCCAGCTGAGCTGCTTGATGTCGTCGGCGGAGGCGTCGCCGAAGAACTCGTTGGTGAACTCGGGGAGGTTCGCGGTGCGGATCATCTCACGCGTCTTGGCGTCGTGGACGCGGCCGAGGTAGGCGGGACGGATGGAGTCCTGCGTGAAGGAGTAGGAGAACTTGGCGGCGTTTTCGCCGGGAGGGATGGTGAGCTGGATATCCAACTTGGCGTTGATAATGGAGAGGAAGTTCTCGAATTGCTCGGTTGGGACGAAGAGGACGGGGGTCGAGAGACCTGGGTCAGAGCTGAACATGTAGAAACTGGGTAGAGAATATGGTGAGCAAGACGCGTCGTATTGGCAAGAGCATGAAGCTACTTACAAGTCCCAGGCCTGATACTCATAAAACTTCTCAAAGAAGGGTTTAGCCTGGGAAGGAAAATGTCAGTTGCAATGAATATTTTGGAACAAACTGAGGGGAACACCAACCCGTGGGCCATTGGCCTTGCCGATAAACCACTCCGGATAATGAAAAACCATACGCCAGGGGCAAAAGACCATGGACGCATCAGCCTTGTCTCCATAGCCGAGGTTGATGGTGAGGGTAGACAGAGCACCCTCAATCTCGGGGAGATTCTTGTCGACGACATCCGCCGAACCGTCGGCGTCCTTACCCTTGTGAGCCTTCTTAGCAGACTTCTTCTTCGAGTCTCCAGCGCCCGAACCCGACGCCTTAGAAGCGTCCCTGGAAGGAGACGCATGACCGCTCTGGGTGGTGCGAGGTTTTTCCTTTTCAGCTCGCTCTTCACGCAACATTTCCTCAGCCAATCTCAAGGTTTCGTCGAACCTGCCGGCGGGGTACTGTTCAGCCAGGCCACGCAGCCTCTCGGCCACCTCCTCCAGACTGGGCGGCGATGTATCATCAATCTCGAGGGATTCTGACGACGACATTGTGTGTGGCAGGTCGTAATGTGGAGGTTTTTGAGGTTGGTTCTGTTTGCCGGGGATGGGTCTTCAAATAGAGTCGGTTTGCTGAAGATGAAGTGAGATGGAGTGGGAAAAGGAAGTAGGGGAAGAGGGGACGAGGGGATTTGAGGTAAATAGAGATTTGGGAGGAACCATTAGGGCTCTGGTGGAAAGAACCCTTTTGAAGTGATACAAAGCGACATGTTGACTCTGTATTAGTCGTCATCCCGCGATGTGATGCTATTTGATCCTGTGTGGGTGGGATGGTCAGTCCAGGATGGATGAGACCCGCTATCGCTATCGAAAACTCACAGGAACTAGAGCTAGGTTCATTGAGGCTTGAGTTTTCCTTTGCTTACCTGGTATCAAACATCACAAATCTATCATAATTGCCATCAATCTAACATACTTACAAGGATAAGAATGAAAGGCTCCTTATAGACAGGGTCAAGAGCATCCTGCATTGTGTGAGGTGAGATTGTGGCTAGGCCTGCTAATTGGGCTGCCGTCTATTTGTTGCGTATTATCCGTAGCCATCAATATGTACGCATCCACTCATACAACCCAACAATATTTGAAGTAAACCAAAAAAACGCCATCGCTATGGAGCCAAGATGATATGTAGTGTTATACATTGCCCAGAAACCCATCCGGTTCTCGACCTGCCTGCCTCCTGCCGTCAATCAAAAGCGGATACATCCTACTCCCTCGTCAAGAATTCTTTTCCAGGAATTCCTTCGCCTCGTTGATCTTGGTAGCTAGGTAGGGGCTTCCGCCCCTGTCGGGATGGTTGAGAAGCATCATAGTTCGGTGGGCTTTGCGGATCTTGTCCTTGGTCACGGCTCGCTCGCTGGAAGACCGGAGTTAGTACAGCAATTATGGCAACTGAGCAAATTGGAGAGTTCAACTCACTTGAGAGCAAGGATCAACGTCGCTTCGCGCTTGTTCATCTTAGGCTCAAATCCGCCCTTGTAAAAGGCCTTTCCCAACGCTCCGACACCACCGCGAGATCGTCTCCATGCGACAAGACCGGCGCGACCCTGGAAGAGAAAATCTTTAGCATACTGCGCGCGCAGCTATTTTGTGCGAATCTGACATGAACAACTCACCAGGAAGGCGGCGACCGCTACTCCGGCTCCGATTGCGACTGCTGAGGCCATGGTTGCTTAGATGATTGTCGGTGGTGATGACTGGTAATTGTTCGCGCTTTTGGGGGGCAAACGTGAACTTTTTTCCGTCATTCTTCGCCGATGCCGAAGAATCTGGAAGATTGAGAATTGGTCTGTTTGTCAACTTCCCGAGAATGAGCCGGGATATTTAGCCGATAATTTCCCGTTACGTCATCAGTTTCAGACAATGTACCGAAGCTATTCCCTCTCATGAGAGGAAGCATCATGCAGATGAGGCTCGCCGGTAGATATTTAGAGTAGAATTTTATCCAATTTGTTCAAAATGTCTGGACTTGGAATCTTTTCGACGGGACCGTACCATATCATCACGTAAGTTTTTTATTCATCTAGAATGCCCCTGGCATTGGCGAGCGGCGGGACGCGCGTGTAATTCAAGATGCACACCATGTTCTGACAGCTCCGCGGACACACAGATATGGGACGCTCTTCGGAACTACCTTCTGGCATGTAAGTGGAACCATGCGCTTTCCCAATTCCCCTCGATTCCCGTTGCATTGACCAATTTGGGACAGTCCTTCGTTGGGGGAATCGTCATGTTCAGGACGCTGGCACGACCTCAGTTCGCCGCCGTCCAATCCCACCTCTTCCCTATCTACTTCTCGCTCCAGACCGCGGCTCCCGCCATCCTTGCCCTGACGTACCCGGGGAACAAGAACTCGGGGCTGGGGCTGAGCGGAATCTTGGACGCGGCAAATAGGTGGACTGTTTTGGCGCCGCTTGCGACGATCTTTGCTACTTCGCTACTTAACCTCTTGGTCCTGCTACCTGCTACCGGGAAGGTCATGGAGAAGAGGAGACTTCAAGGTGAATATCGCATAGCCCTTGGTTGTCTAAAATGCTCACTCCTTTTCCTTCTTGTTTCATTTATCTCTTTTTCTCTTGGGCACTAACGATGCTGTTATTTTGCAGAGAAGAAGGATGGCAAAAAGTCGTGGGAGCCAGCTCCTCACTCGCAAGAGATGGTTGCGCTTAACAAGGAGTTTGGCAAGCTTCATGGCATCTCGTCACTTCTTAACTTGACGACTTTTATTGCGTCCGTCGTGTATGGGTTCCATCTTGGCAACCTGCTCCAGTAGATGGATGGATGATGCTTTAAAAGTGCCGGGTATAGCAGACTTCGAGGTTCTCTTTCGAGGATTGGAATGCTGTATTACGTTTATGATAGATACCTCTCCGTTAGTTATAAGACGCACCTAGGAAGTGATTATGTGCTGTTTCGAACGGCTGGTGCTGTCTTCTTAATGTCTACTTCGTATTCCTGTGTTGGCACCAGGATGCAACATGGGTCTTCTCGGAGACTATAACCCGAACCGGCCGTGTTCGGAGCTCTAAATTTAGCGATGTAAGCAGCGGCACGGCGTTTGTCAACATCAACAATCAATTGGACTCCTCTTTCACTCGGACTGGAGACGTCGGGCATCCGTCGAGTTAACTACCGAGTACTTACTTCCAATGAGCTCATTGTTCACCGCCTCATGTCTTCTCTAGCAAAATAGATTTCTTTCCACGTTAAGATCTGATTTCCTTGTTTTAAGCCAGTCTTTTTTTCGTTTCACTTCCTTTTCCTTTTTCTAAGGTTCATTAGAATTTCACTCACCTCGCCCGCCATGTCAAAGTCTAAATACCTCAGCGGAGACTCAACCGCCATCAATGAGTTCTTGGACCGATTCGACGTGAGTATATTACCTCCATAAATCCCAGAGAAGCAGAACCGAAATGGTTTATAATGCGAGATTGAGAGATACTAAACAGTATTTCTCTAGGCTTTTCTCTTTGATTGCGATGGCGTCCTATGGTCCGGAGACATCGTCTTCGAAGGCGTCCCCGAGACCCTGAACCTCCTCAGAGCAAAGGGTGAGTGAGAAGAATCGCCCCTCTCATCTCCAACCTCAATCTCCAACCTCAATCTCCAAAGCTGCCCAGTGCTCACCAATACAACCTCCCTCCCCGGAAAACTATGTAAATATAAAGGCAAAAAAGTCATCTTCGTAACAAACAACTCCACCAAATCCCGCCAAGACTACCTCCAAAAACTCACCAACCTCGGCATCCCCGCCTCCCTCGACGAAGTCTTCGGCTCCTCCTACTCCTCCGCCGTCTACATCGCCCGCATCCTCAACCTCCCCCCCACCAAGCGCAAAGTCTTCGTCCTCGGCGAAGCCGGAATCGAGACCGAGCTGCGCGCCGAAAACGTGCCCTTCATCGGCGGCACCGATCCGGCCCTGCGCCGCGACATCACGCCCGACGATTACCGCGGGCTCGCGGACGGTTCGCTCCTCGATCCGGAGGTGGGCGCCGTTCTCGTGGGGTTAGATTTTCATTACAATTATCTTAAGATGGCTACGGCGTTTCAGTATTTGAGGAGGGGAGCTTTGTTTTTGGCTACGAATGTCGATAGTACGCTGCCGAATAGTAACGGGTTTTTCCCGGGGGCTGGGGCGATTTCGATCCCGCTTGTGCATATGATGGGGGGTGTGCAGCCTACGAGCTTTGGGAAGCCGAGTCAGGCTATGATGGATGCTATTGAGGGAAAGTTTAAGCTGGATCGCGCGAGGACGTGCATGGTTGGCGATCGGCTTAATACCGATATTCAGTTTGGTATTCAGGGGAGGCTTGGTGGTACGCTTGCCGTGTTGACGGGGGTGAATAAGAAGGAGGATTGGGAGGTGGAGGGTGCTCCCATCGTACCTCAGTACTATGTGGACAAGTTGAGCGACCTTCGCCAGTCCGAGTAGGGGAGAAGGAAAAAGACGGATACTTTTAGAAGAAGGGCGTTGAAATAGCATTGAAATTAGCATTGGTAGTATTGGTATATATATACAACGATAGACAAGCTAGTCACAGTCCCTAACTGCCCCGATGTTCAACAGTCCCTTATTAGAAGCGCAACTTTGATAAATAAAGACATATATGTACTGCTATTTTTTCAATCGGGGGCTGGGTGAATGTAGAATCCGCTCACCAGCTACTCGCGCTTCCCCAGCTTCTGCTTCGACTTCTGCTTCTTAAGCAGCTCACTCGTCCTAATCACCTTCGGCCCCTCGACCTCAGGTGCCCGATATGGCCTAAAGCTGCTAGGAAGGAACATGCCAACGGTGTCCTGGTAGTGGCGGTATTCCGGATACTTTCCACCACTAATCGACTCCGTCAAGAACGTCGAACCCTGGAAGAGCATGATTAGGGAGAAGGAACCGACGGCGGCCCAGCTGTACAGCGCAGTCGAGGAGAAGCAGGACCAGTGGTACAGGAAGAACCAGATGAGCTGCTCGGCGGCGCAGTTAGGGTGGCGGCTGTAGGCCCAGAGACCAGAGGTGATGAAACCCCTATCGAGGTCGGCCTGGGCGAAGCCGCGCGGGAGTTTAGCATCTTTTTGATACTGGTGCTTCGCGGTTTGGTAATCTAAAGTTCCGAAGTTAGACCCGCACTCTTGAAAAGAAAAGGGGTTGTAGTGAAAGGAGGAGAGCTCTTACGCCATTGTTGCCCGTCAGAGAAGTACTCGCTGACTACTAGAAGCAATTCCACCGCAAAATATCCAAAATCTCCGCTGGAGAGCGTGGGCTCGAACTTGTTCGTGAGCAAGATGATGTATGCAGGCGCCGAGGAGAAGAGGAAGATGAGGAAGCTCTGTGTGAATGCGATAAAGAGGAGATCGAAGAGCGAGAAGAGGACGGGATGCATCCACTTCTGGACGTGGGCCCTGCAATAGAGTTGGGAGTGTCAGCGATTCGATTCTGGTTGCGGGTGGACCGCTGAAAAGGAGTCGTGCTAACCATCTATAGTCCTCGGATCCGATTTGATATCCGCCTTTGCGCCAGTAGTTATAAGTCAGGCGAATCTATCACGAGACAGCATTATCAACCAGAGTCCCCCGTACGGTAACTGGGAAAAAGGGACCAAACATACACTCCACACGATCGAGAACAGCGCCACCAAATCCGTCCTGCTATGGGGTTCAACAGCGAGACGCGCCCACACCGCGAAGTGGACATTGTACACGGCAGGGAGGATGCTCCACGCCCTATCGACCTGGGAAAAATTCCTGTTGACTTCCGCCGTCACCAAGAAGATGACGCCAAGGAAGATCGAGAACGCGGCTCCGGAGATGAGTGGGTTCGTCTCGAGGTAGATTTGGACGAGGGCATCGCGGTTCGAGTAGTTGTCGAGGAGCTTTTGGGGGAGGTCGTAGAGCTGGGGGAGGAAGGGTTCGACGGTCTTGTGGAAGTCGGCGCACTCTTTTATCGTCTGAAGGGTTGGTAAAGCCATTGTGAGGAGGAAATTGGAGACCCGTGGTAGCAAACGGTCCTCTTCGAAAGATGAAAACGGTGGCCTGCCGGGTTTGATGTAGGAGGTTGGTTCACGACGGCGGGCTCCTTGCTGAAACCCACGTCATAGAGGGATGAGAAGATTCAATGTTTCAGCGGATGGGCTTGTCAAAGAGCTCAATGTGCCCAAGCTTATGTGGATTCAATCCGCTTAGTAGCCTGACGGACGCTGTAATTGGGCCGCTAAGTCGAGGCTATTTTACTGCCGGCAGCAGCCGCCAAGATCCACTGTGAGCTCTCCGCCAGGCAGCACCGCACTACGAAATAGTGTGTACAGAGGTCTGGTACCAAATGCCCCAGCCCCTACGCAGCAATTGGACAGTGGAGCCTGGCAGCTGGAGCTTCCAAAGGTAACACTGGACGGCAATTGGGCCCAGAACCTTCCGGCGTTTGCCCTGTTTCCCCCTCCCCCACCACAACCGAATCAATATTGAATTGAAATTTCGAGACTCAGGCACGTTTTCTTCGAAGTAGCCCGCCATCGCTCGCTCTTATACGATGCTGGGACAGCCACGATAAAGTGGGATTCTATGATCGAGATGATAGATCAATTGCCTTAGCCATTTTAACATACGGATCTTCGATTATTAACACGCCAAAGTGAACGGCATACTTGTTCTCATCCCCTCTAATGTCGCGTGCCAGTCTTCAAGACTTCGTAGTTCTTGCCCCCACCGTCGCCATCGCCACCATCGCGGTTCTCGACTACTCCCGATTTCTTCTCGAGCCCGACTCCTAACCGGACTCTATCTCCTGGCAAAGCACTCATGGTTCTTTCTATGCTCCTTAGATTTCCTAGAGAGCGTGTGATCCGATGAAGGTCCTCTGTGTTGCTGAGAAACCATCGATCTCCAAGGCAGTAGCAGACCACCTCTCTGGAGGGCACAAGCAAACGGTCAGTCGCCGTGTCCCAGGAGGTTATCTTGCGCAGCAACTGCAGTCCCGTGAGGTTTCTAACACTAACTTCCCATTACTAGCACAATACGCGAGTCAAGTTTATAAAGAATTATACCTTTGACTTTGATTTCGGTCAACCATGGGGACGCTGCGAGGTGACCATGACGTGCGTGACGGGGCATCTAACCGAGATGGCCTTTCCACCGGCCTTCTCGAACTGGACCTACCCACCCCCGGAGAGTCTATTCACTGCGCAAGTGCTTACTCAAGTTGACAATGTAAGTCTGGTGAGATGATGGGAGGTTTGAACACCGAGGTCTCTAACATCAATCACCAGGACAAGAAGAACATAGCCGCCAACATCGAGACACAAGCTCGGTATTCCCAGGCCCTCGTCATATGGACCGATTGCGATCGCGAGGGAGAGCATATCGGAAGCGAGATTCGTAGTGCTGCCCAGAAAGGGAACGGCAGACTCCAGATTAAGAGGGCCAGGTTCAGTAACATCGAGAGAGAGTGAGTACCCATTCCACACCCATCTCCAAGAATCCTGCCTCGCGTTGCCTAAGTCAAGCCACACCTCATACTTACACTGGCCACGCGATAGGCATGTCATAACGGCCGCGCGGCACCTTGTTGCCCTCGATGAACGGCAAGTCAACGCAGTCGAGGCCCGAATAGAACTGGATCTCAGGATTGGCTTCGCCTTTACTCGGTTTATAACCAACTCCCTCAGGTCGTTAGGTGGCCCCCTGTCGGATAAAGTTCTCAGCTACGGTACGACCACTTCCGTTTCAGGCCTTAGACGCCACGTCCTTCATTATTGCGAGTTATTCCTCACACTTGTATAACTAGGAGCATGCCAATTTCCTACCCTTGGTTTCGTCGTGGAGCGGTATTTCCGAGTCAAGAACTTCGTCCCCGAAACTTTCTGGACTATCAAAGTGCGCCACAACCGCAAAGGCATCGATGTCAACTTCAGTTGGGCGAGGAATCGCCTCTTCGATCGGCTTTCTGTCATCATCTTGTATGAGCGATGCCTCAACGCCAAGATCGCAAAGGTGACCAAGGTGCAAGAAAAGCCAACGAGGAAGTTCAAGCCGCTACCGCTCACCACAGTCGAGCTTCAGAAGGCGGCGACCCGGCTCCTCAAGATGTCCGGCCAGCAAGCCATGAACATTGCCGAGTCGCTTTACAACAAAGGATTCATTAGCTACCCTAGGACTGAGACGGACCGGTTCGACAAGGGGATGAACCTGCGCGCCCTATGCGCTAAGCAAACCCAGGACGGTCAATGGGGGCAATTTGCCCAAAACCTTGTCAACGGCGCATTCAACCAACCGAGAGAGGGTCGTCACGACGACAAGGCCCATCCGCCAATCCACCCTGTTACGTACGCCGGTCCTACGGCCCTAAACCACGACGAAGCCCGCCTTTACGAGTACGTCGTAAGGAGGTTCCTCGCCTGCTGTTCCGAGGACGCCAAGGGCCTCGCGACGGAGGTTGAGATCAACTACGGTGGAGAGATTTTCTCAGCCCATGGCGTCATAGTGTTAGAGAGGAACTACCTTGATGTCTTTGTCTACGAAAAGTGGAACAGCAGCGCGGAGCTTCCCAAGTTCGTCATGGGCGAGCAGTTTCAGCCTACAGAGGCCATGATGACCGAAGGCAAGACGTCACGGCCCAACTACCTAACAGAGGCAGACTTAATTGCCTTGATGGATGCGAACGGCATCGGTACCGACGCTACGATGGCGGAACATATCCAAAAAATCCAGGATAGGCACTACGTCGACGTCGTCAATCTTCAGAACCAGAACCAGAACGACGAAGGCGACGGTGATGACGACGGCGCGCCACCAGCTCGAGGAAGGGGTCGAGGAAGGCCAGGAGGAGCCGGAGCTTCTGGCGGACGCGGAAAGACTGGCAAGTATTTTGTGCCCACGAGATTAGGCGTCGCCCTCATCCTGGGGTTCGACCGAATGAATTTCGAAACGAGTCTTGGCAAGCCGTTCTTGCGAAGGGAAATGGAGTCGAAGATGAAGGCCATCTGCGAGGGTCGTACGACCAAAGCTGCTGTTCTCCAGGAAAGCATTGGCCAGTACCGGCAGGTGTTTTTCCAGTCGCAGGAGAAGATTGGCGTCCTAAGAGCGGTAAGGACCCTGGATGCATTTCTTTGGCTTCGATGTGCGTCGTTTTTTTTTTTTCTTTTTGGTCTAACGGTGCGTATGCTGTACAGGCATGCCAGGAATTCGTGTTTGGTTGATGCTCATGTCGCTCGACTGCAGCTCTGCTACATCCGCCGCATTCATCGCCAGTCGGCGCTGATTGTCTTATCGTATCAAAACACACAAAACACAGTGTCGCCGATGTCGCGAGTCAATTCTTAATCGATTGTCTCCCAACAATTTTTTTGCCATTTGCCATGGCCATTTGGGCGACGACATGACCGAGTTGACACAACCGAAGCCATTCAGCATCGGCAGTGCTACGCCGGTGAGGGGACACAGCATATCTGAACGCCTACCCCGCCACGCCACAGGTCACTCTTCAACAGTATCGTCCGTGTGTTATTTGAACTGGTTTCTCTGGGGAGCGGGGGGTTGCAACCAACAGATCGGGCCAGCGGCGTAATACAAGGAGGAGTGATTCGAGCTGTCATGGCAACCGAGGGCTAATCTGCCAAAGCTTCGGTGCCTGTCGTCCGTTCGGCTCCCCTTGCCGGGGCCTCTCATCTTCATGGAGACGCGTTCGGAGGCAATCTGATTGCCAGAGACAGGTATTTTCCACGCATACCAAGGAGGCACACACACCATACTCTTTGATCGTATGGCCAGGGATCCCACCCCCGCGCCGGTGACCAGGCTGTATACCACAATGTATTAGAGGTCGGACGTCCTTGGTGACTATGCAGGGTGTGCAACAACGTGGGGTAAGGTCAGTGGATGATGGGCTACACAAGCAACGTGAATGGCCAAAATCCCTGATTCAGGTTTTTTGGGTTTCGATTCTTGCGAAGTAGTGTCTGGAGGAGGAGGTTTCTCCCCGGGCGACTACTTTGTTGGTGCTCAGTTCGAGGATTTACATGGTGCTACGCCGGGCGACACGGAAGGAACCAGCTTCGGCATCATGTCCCAACGGACGGCTTTCGAAGGGAAGCGTCGCGGAGCCCCGCTGGGCTGGCCAAGGAGGGGTGAATGAAACTCTTTTCCTTTCCTTTTACCAAGGACGCGTCCGTTGACGCTCTTTTCTGTATGAACTTTGAAGTATTGAAGACCGCACCGAGGGATTTTATGAGCTCATTGGTCGTTGTCTCTCTGACCGGGGACCAATCAAGACGAAGGCCACCCAACGTGATGGTTGTCATCTTGCCAATTCGGACGAGCGAAGGTATCGGTCCATTTACACCTCTTTTTAGCTAGTGAGGAAACGAGAAAAAAGGGCGGATCAGCGCTTTTTGCTCTGGAAAATGCGCATCACCACGTACCCCATGTTCACGAACCCTAACTTGAGGGCTTGATTGGGGGGTTTTCGGGATCAACCGATGTTGTTTTTGTGGTAGTTTGTGGTTTTTGCGCTAATTTTTGTGTTTTACTACCTTTTTGAGCCATTTTGATCGATGATAGCGATGATATGCGTTGATGGGATCATCCAAGCTGTACGTAGACCGGGGAAGTAGCATCGCGACTTTTTTAGACAACAGACAATACCCGCACTCCCTCCTCCCGCGTCGTGTACTTTGAGACACACACCCCGTGCGATTGAGAACCGAGTGGCTTATCCGATGGTAGCTGATGGATGAGAGGTCCTGTCCTTTCCGGGTTCTTCCGTACGTTTCTTAGACCGGGAGCAACAGCTTGGCCGATAAGCAACTTGCAAGTGACAATGAAGAACATCTGCAGACGGATTGCGAGCCGGGTGTCTCGGGGGTCAACGAGATAAGGTATTGTGGCTGGCCTTTCAAGATAAAAACGGGCATCTTCACATGACGATTCGAGGGTTTCTGAAGATAATCGATGGTACCTACGTTTGGGGGCTTCTAGA